TGTAAAATTGAAGAATTTAAAGAATTCTTTCTAATTCCTGGTTTAAAAGCTTGTTCGAAATTTCCATTTTCTTCATGCTAGTTCTTGCAATTTCAATTAAGAATCTGATTCAATGTATTGAAAGAATTGTTCTGAATAGAGCTATAATTGGTGGTAATTTGCCTATCCCAACGTTCATTAAAATCAAATTAATGTAAAACATCTGTTTCTTTAAGGAAGGGACAATCACTTATTGAATTATTTGGATTTATGATTTTTGTTTCAATATAATCAAATATTGAACATCATATCGGAACAAATTTTAAAAGAATTCAAAAAGTGACCTTAAAAAGCAAATTCCTTTATTTGTCATGATATTGAGTAAAAGCCTCCTGCCTGCAAAAATCATTGACAATAACAGAAAGTCAAGCATGAAAAGATCTGAAATAAAAATAGCATTGTGAAATTCTAGGAATTTCCGGTGAAATGTTTCGCGACTTGTTTTGCAGTCATAAATTAATCAAGGTGTGGTATTGTCTCCAAATTGTTCGACTAGACTTCTTAACATTTTAGCAACTCTTTTATTGGAACTAAAGTGTTATCTGATCTGTTGAATTACTTCTTGTTCTAACCATAAAATGACCAATGGCCATAAAATTTATCTTTAAATTAATTTTTAATTCTGATCCAAGGCTTAGTGCTACGGATATCTTAATTTATTAAAGTACTCTAATTTAAAGGAATTGCTTAAATCAACAGATTTTCTCATGAGATTTAAGAAGATTAATAGATAAAAAACCTACAAATAAAAAATTATGAAAAAGCCATAAAGGATATCGCGAACTTTTTATTGCAAACTACAAATATTTTATTTTTTGTGCTATAAAGTGTCTAAAGAAATATTTTTCAAAGCATAAAGATTTTAATGGGTAATCAAAAAATTGAAAGATAATATCGTATAATGGACTGTAAATGATGTTTAATGAGATTTATTTTAATTCGTTAAGAATCAATAAAACTTTATCAACATGTTGAGCAGTTAAATCAAACACGCCGTTTGCTACATCTACATTTTCGTGATAATTTACCACAATTTACTTCTATTCATAATAAAATAAAAATTTGAACAATATTCTATTGTTTCTTACATTTCAGACTTGAATTGAATCAAAGTAGACGACAACAGCGAGTGTGTAAGAAACGTGATCAGGAAGTTGAGCTTTTAAGATACAAATGATATGGATTCACGTATAGGATTAGATTATATAGTAGAAAATAGTGACTATGTTTCCAAATTAGCGGCTGCTTTGGATACAAACAATGAAATTGTCAAAAAACAAGTTTTTGAATTACTATCAGCATTATGTGCCTATTCTCGCTCAGGTTACAATCGTGCCATAGAAACATTAGAAAATTATAAGGTAAGAGTTAATTTTCACCCATTACCTCACTTCCTCATGCAAATGTTTTTTATTACTTACCTATGTCTTATTTTTCACAGAATATTAAAGATGAAAGATACCGACTTAGGGTTGTTGTAAATGAGCTCGACAAAAGTTCAAATCTCGAGTATAAAGTGACTCTCTTGTCATTTGTCAACTGCGTCATTATTTCATCAAAAAGTCTGCAAGATAGAATACGTATAAGAAATGAGTTTATAGGTGAGCAATTCGTGCATATTATCCATATTATTCAATTAGTTTCACTTAATGAGACGCGATTATCCGCACGCGATACTGTTTGTTATGCTTTACAAACTGATTTTCTTTCAATTGCTAAAAAGAGCTATAAGTTGAATAATTAAGCTTAACACATTTGTTAATTTACTGACAAAATCATTTTGACATGAATGTGTTAAACTAATCATATTAAGCATGTGAATTTAATGTCTATTATCTCTTTCATTATTATAGGCTTAAGCATATTACCAGTATTGAATAATTTAAGGTAAGTTCAATGAATCTTATCTAAATCTACAAATATCTTTTTTGCGATAGGGGCCGTTCAATTATGACGTCCTAAATTAATGGTCATTTTTCAAAAAAGAACAATGGATTTTCAGGAATTTCTATTGTTCTTTTCTTGCTGACCCCCCTCCTGGACGTCATAAGTGAACGGTCCCATAGCATTTTAAATATGTGTTTTACCAATCTTTACCAAAAACTTCAATTGATAATTAAATTAAGGCTTAGATGCTTGAATAAGTAACATCAGTTGATGTTGGATTAAACAATTAAGTAAAATCGAATCGGGCTTAGATTCTTATCCGAACATACAATGAGTATACTCAGAGCACATTATTTGTGAGCTTGCAAACTTTTGTGAGAATTTGCTCATTTCATACATTAAAGTGATGCGATCACGGTACCTTTTTGAGTATGCTCAGTGAGCACATTCCTATGTGACAGGGGCGTAGCCAGGGGGGGGCCATAGGGGGCCCGGGCCCCCCCCTACGAAAATCTGATAATTGTTTTATTAAGTATTTATAGAGAAGAACCAGTTAATGTAGAGGAAGTGACGAAAGAAATGTCAAAATGAGCACGGAAAATTAAATTTAATGTATGAATAATGAATTAAATATTTAAACTTATGAAGAATGAATATAGATTTAAGGATACAAAATAACGGTTTTTTCAATTTTCGAAGATGGGCCCCCCCCTTAAAAATTTTCTGGCTACGCCCCTGCTATGTGACATGTATTAAGCTCACTGAGTAAACTCATGAGCATACTCAAAGGAGAAGACAACATGCCACACGTAACATTTTTTTAATCAAACATTTTTTATTGAATATACTTATGAACATTCTCAAAGAGTATATACTCATGAAAATACTCAAAAGATATATGCTTAGTGAGTTTTTTTAATGAGTATATGCTCATCTGAGCACACTCATGAGTGCAATCAGTTAAAGTCACAAAATTCAAGAAAATTAATTAAGTTAAATTTGAGTTTTATAAGGATAATTCTGTGAATAATTTTGGAAGAGCTAGAAATTATTATTAACATTTTATCTCAAATACATAAGAAGGAAGTTTTAAAAACCGGTCACCCATCCTTGTAAAAAAAACCTTTTGCGTTGCTTAACTTCTGTCACCTCACACTTTTCCTCGGAGCAATTTTCTGTAAATATATAATAATTTTTATATGGCAAAACACATACTTAAATTATTATATTATTACAGGCAAACTAAGTTCTTTGAAGTTTGATACGCTGCTTAATTGAACTATATTTTTATGAAATATTTGAGTTGATCAGATCACGATCGTGAGCACATATTATGAAAAATGTCGACCAACTTAAAATTAAACTTAGAACACATTTTTATGTAAGTCGACATTTTCAAAAATGTCGACCAACTTAAAATCGAGCAAAGAATACATTTTTATGCAAGTCGACATTTTTGAAAATATTTTATGAATTCAAATATTAGTTCCATGAAAGCCAAAAGATTTTGATCGTGCTTAATTCTTATAGTTTTTTAAAAGCAAAGTAATTTTTAAATTAATTCCTTGAGAAACTCTTGACATTTATTTCAAAAAACTTAAAATTGTAAAAAGTTTCGTACATTTTTGAATTACATATCTAAAATATTCAACATTTGCTTTTAAGTTGGTTAACAATTTTTTAAAAAATGTCGACTATCATAAAAATATATTCTAAGTTTGATTTCAAGTTGGTCGACATTTTTTAAAATTTCATATAGATATAATTATAATCATTTTATGCTCATGAGTATGTTTAGGATAATTTATAAGAGTAAATACCCATGAGTATGTTCTTAATATTCCCATACGCATGTTCAGTAAGTGCACTCATACGAGTATATTCACATAAGTATGTTCTTAATATTCTCATGAGTACACTCGTTGAATGCACTCACGTGAGCTTATAAATTTTTGCAAAAAAATAAATTGAGTACATTCGTAATGAATTCCTGAGCATAATCAGTTGAATGAGCTTGCATGAGTATAATTTTTGAGTAGACTCACTTATATGCTCACTTTTCTGAGCATGCTCTTTGTATGTTCGGATTAATATCCAGAAATTTGGGAAAAAAACAATAATTGTCATAGATTTACTTTAAAAGCTTCATCTAGCACCATGACATACATCTCCGAGATTTCAAGATAGGATACCAAAAACAACAAATCTGTGCTTAATATATTCTTAGCAAACTCTGAGATTTTGTCTAAAAATGGGCACAAAATCTAGAACTTGAATGACTAACTAGGCGTCAAATTTCAATTTCATTGATTGAATATGAGTCATTGTTTGAGTGTAAACAATAAGGCTGGAGAACATATATATAATGATCATCTGCTAGAATTCAATAGAGATGGAACCAAATTTTATGGACGTCAGGTGTGAAAGTTCGACAGAACATTAGTATTTGAGCGTGAATCAATAGAATATTAAATTAAATTTCTTGGTGGTCGTAGACATCATGCTGTGGCACTATAAACGCACTTAAGATAAAGAAAAATGAGTAGAGCACTAGAAAATTATAAAAATTAGAGTCAGAATGTACCAAAAACAAATCATTGCAGCAAATTAAGTTGTATTAATGTCAATATTAGGTAGTAAATCAACTAACGCGATGATTTAGCAAAAAGTCATAAAGAAGTCATTTATGGCACAGCGATCTCCAAGAATTTTCTTGTCAATGAGTCGTCATACTAGTATGATTCATATTAAATAGATCGTTACAAAGCTTATCGCTTGAAGTGGAAAAAAACCTACACATTCCCACTTGAAATAAAGCATACATCAATTCACAGAATATCTGTTTATATTCCAAAAAAAGAAATATCAAATTGAGTGTTGGAGAAAGAAATAACATTGACCGTAGTTCACAATATGTACGCCTTGATCTTATCAACAGCTATCAGAAAAGAAAACATTTATTTTGCGGCCTTCACGAGGTCGCTAGAGATAACAGGAAACATAGGAACGATATCACATACAATATTCCGCTACTAGCAAAATTGATAGTGATTCAGTTCCAAAAAGTACTTCAGCCAAGACACAACTGAAATGTACATACTCATTAAGAAGAGTTCCAAATTTGAGTGAGTGATTACTTTGGACTTTCCTGTTTGTTTTTGTTGATAAAAAATTTGTTTGAAAAATGGTGTCACGCTTTTTGGGGATTTCTCAAATGAAGAAGTGCTTTATGAATTGTTATTGTAAAAGTGATTAAAAAATAGACCAGAATTAAAACTCATAATTTTTTGCGAGTGTCTGTAATGTGAATTTAGAGTGTCTTATGTGTAAACTAATGTAAATCAGGTCGGGGTTTGATATGAATCGATCCTAGATGCTCAAAAGAGAGGATCTTCGAATCCCATGATCAGACTTGTCTACTCTAGACATCACCTTAGAGCCATATCTACTGTGAGATTTGTGTCAATCCTTATTATTATACATGTATTGTTAATATACTTTAAAAGTCAGATTTGCAATACAGAAGCTATTAATGAAGCTTTAGCACAAAACAGTTCGATCCGTTTCTTCCTAATGAAATCATCAATTTCTGATAAGACTATGTATATACTTTTGATATTATGATGACACAGAATGGACTGAAGTGATATCATATATCCAGTTAAAAGAGAATTAAACATGCGATAGAACAAAGCTTTCCTCTGCAATTTCTAATACTATTATTCCATAAAAATTATTCAAGTTCAGTTACGTGCACCTTGATCTAAATAAAGAAATAATTTTTGGTTGCCTAGATGCTAATTGCTGCACACCATAATTGAATTATTATTGTGAAATACAAACATATTGAAAATACGCATATTTATAGAGCACACAAAATCATATGACTGACGTCTAAGCTGAATATTTCCAGGAATAAAAGTGTATTTATTCCATAAAACAGTATAGCCGGCCAGTCGTTACATTTTTGTAAGCTCAACTTGTAATTTGTTGTAATTTTTTCCTACAACGGCTTGCGTGCGCATACATCCTGCACGTGGTTTGTTATTATTTTTGGTATTCTTTCAGAAAGAATTTTATTTTGTGATCCTAAAGAATTAATAAAATAAGTAAATAAATTATATATGAAGAACTAAAAAGTCTGGAGATATTTGTTGATGATAAATTAGTTATTTGATGTATAAGATGTTGAAAAATTACTTAGAGAATGTGAAAAGTTACTTGTGAGAATATATAAATATATATATCATATGTGCAAAAATCAATACTTTATATTCGTCCTTAAAAAAAAAATCATTTTATGAGAAAAGATTTTGGAATTGAAATTCCCTTTAAAGAAGTTAATTAAAAGTGTATTTTTATACAGCCTATTTGACTTGTTCAGCTATTATAAAGACTTCGAGTTGTTGTCCATCAATCATTTTTGTATAGCATTGAGAAATTCACAAAATAGATTAATCAATTATTTTTTTCGACAATTTAAGTGTAAAAATTTGGTGTTCAGAGAAAATTACAAAGAATCAGCTACAGTCGATAAAAATTTTCTTACTTGGTAAAACGCTCATAATTGCCATTGTAGTTTATTATTATTTTATATTAAAGTCTTTAAACAGTTTTTCATGCACATAATCACCAGCATAATAATATGTTTATTTTTTTATAACAATGATATAGGCGTATAGCAAGTAACATTCCTGACTTAAGTGTGCAATTAGACGTGTTTGACGAACAGAGAGAATGCGACGAATCACAAAGTTTGCAAGGATCAGATGGGATAAATTTAAATTCACATCTTGATGTCTTTTACGCAATCTTGCGGCAGGTCAGTTACAATTGAAAACATTCATACAGATTGTATTGAGTTTATGCTGACATTCATTCGTTTGTTTCCATGATTTATTTTCAAGGTTGCGGATACACCTCATGAGATTCCATTTTTGAATATTCTTCAACATTTATTAAGAATTGATTCAAAAGAGCCAATAAGTGATACGATTTGGGATACATTGGAAATATTAGTTCATCGTACGACTTTAATAGAAGATAAAGCAGATTCAGAAAAGATTTTAAGAGCACAAAAATTTTCTTGTCCTCATTGTCGAAGTGACGTGGCTAGTCCAAGGAAATTATCTTTACCACATTCGATTCAATCTCCTGTAACACTGAGTACGAATCAATCAGGAGTACCACCCCCTGCACCTCCATTGCCGCCTTTATTACAGCTCCAAGGCTCTTGTGATCCCCAAGGTAATTATAAACTTATAAATTTTAATACTTATTTATTTTGCTTCAAAAAATTTAATTCACAAACACTAAAAATCTTCTTAACTTTATCATCAACAGTTCCAATATCACAGCAGCATAATGTACCACCCCCTCCACCACCCATTCCGAAAATTCCTAATCCGCCCTGTTTACCACCTCCGAATAATCTAACAGTAAATGATAAGTCATGTAGACCAAAAACACCAGAAATTAATTCTGAAGTACTGAAACCTTTACCGCAACAAGAGACTCCCACGCCGCGTGCGAAAATGAAAACAATAAATTGGAATAAAATTCCTCCCAACAAAGTCATTGGGAAGAACAATATATGGTCGATTGTTGCGGATAATCATCAAAATAGTCCAATGTCGGAAATGAATTGGGATGAGATGGAAGGGCTATTTTGTCAACAAATTACCCAAGGATCACCAAAACTAGGAAGAGAACCAGGGAACGATACGCTTGAACGTCGCTCTAGAAGAGACAATGAGGTAAGTCACTTGACTCTAATCCATAACTTCCTGCAAATTTGACATTTTTCTTTTAATTCACCTTCAGATAACGCTTCTTGACGGGAAGAGAAGCCTTAATGTAAATATATTTTTGAAGCAATTTAGAAGCACTAATCTTGAAATCACACGAATGATTCGAGACGGAGAACATGATCAAATAGGATTGGAGAAGCTCCGGGGACTCTTGAAGATTCTGCCTGAATTTGATGAATTAGAAATGTTGAAAAATTTCGAAGGTGATAAGGAACGATTGGGAAATGCTGAAAAGTTTTTACTCCAATTGATACATGTGCCTAAGTAAGTTCCTCCTTTTTGAGTCATGTCATTGAACTTTTTTTATTAATTTCGTAATTATTTTGCAGTTACAAATTGAGAATTGAATGCATGTTATTGAAAGAAGAATTTACTGCAAATCTAAGTTATCTAGAACCAAATATCAACTCAATGTTGTATGCGGGTGAAGGTAATTTACAGTCATTTAATTAGGAACACTGATATATCTATAATTAAATACTTAATTACTTTCCCCTTTAGATTTAATGACAAATAAAGCTTTACAGGAAGTTTTGTATATGGTTGTGGTAGCTGGTAATTTTTTAAATGCGGGTGGATATGCCGGAAATGCAGCTGGTGTTAAATTATCATCATTACAAAAGTTAACCGATATACGCGCTAATAAACCTGGAATGAATCTAATTCATTTTGTTGCTCTGCAAGCTGAGAAAAAAAATAAAGATTTACTCATTTTCGCTGACGACATGTCTAGCTTGGAAAATGCTTCAAAGTACGGGTGAATTTACGTTTTATATTTTTTTATTTATTATTTTTTTGTTTTACTTATCTTATCAATATTTAATTTATAGGACGACAATTGAACAAATAAATAATGAAATAATTACGTTGGATAAACGCTTAAAAACCATTAAAAAGCAAATTGAGCTTCCATCGACAGAAGATGATATCAGATTGCAAATGGAAGACTTCATTAAGGTAAATGAAATTAAATGACTGACTTATTATTTCATTAAATTAAATTCCTCGATTCATTATCTAAAAAGGCTGCTGAAAATGAACTGTCAATGTTGCATCGTGCAATGAAGGAATTGGAATCGACTCGCGTTCAACTTGCAGAGTTCTTTTGTGAAGATTCAAATCAATTTAAAATTGAGGAGTGCTTTAAAATATTTTATCATTTTTGTGAAAAGTTCAAGACAGCTGTCAAGGAGAATGAGAAACGTCGAATTCAAGAAGAACAAGCTAATGTACGTAGAAAGCAAAGGGAGGAACAACTTGCAAATAAACGCAAGCAATACATTCAAAATGGATCAACTGTATCCGATTCAGAGAATAGTTTTCTTATGGATCCTCCAACTATATCTTATGACATACGCTTCAGTCCTGCTATGAGTCGTAGACGAATGGGTTCATTTAATAATCAGAATAACACATATGATGGATTTCGAGATGAAGGTATGTCACCTGATATTACTCCAAATGGAAGTTTGAGAAGAAGACGTAGTCGAGTCTTATCAGAGGAAGATGAAGGAAGTCTAATGGATTTTTTAAGATCTTCGGGACACGATGGAACAACTAGAGAAAGAAAATCAGCCTCAGGTTATGGTAGTTTAGATAGGTCGTGGGCACGAAGAGCAAGATCAGGTTCTGCTGGAAAGCAAAGGCCTGATTTATTAAATGTAGATTTTGGATCTGATCGTGAACGACCGGCTTCTCCATCTCCCGTCACTGAAAATAAGCCTATTGTAGAACACGAAGATGATCCTAAACCCAGGTAAAGTCTAATGATCTAATCAATTACTCATTTAATAACTCTATCATAATTTGAATAGGATTTCGAGGGAATGGAGACAAAAGATAGAAAATTGGCTACAAGCAAACGAGCAAGACGAAAAGCAAAACGATGAATATCGTAAGAAAAGGGGAAGAGTTACAAGCAACAGGCGATCGCTTGAAACCGATACAGGTATAAAATATGCTACCATTTAAATGCTACGTAGGTCGTAACTTTTGATTTCTTAATTTATAGAAAGCGAAAAAGGAAACAAGCTCGATACGTTACCCGAGGAAAAATCTCATAATTCACCTTCTCAGATACAATCACCAAATGCAACAAATGCAAACTCTGCAGTGCCTAATGTGCCTTTGGAATCTTATAGGCGTGTATATCCTGAATGGAAGCCATCTACTTCACTTGAAAAAGCAGACATTGTTGGAACTATTGAAGCTTTAGCAGGAATGACTTGTAAGATTTTTAAAACTTTTTTTTTGAATTTATCGCTAATAATTTTTCGTCACTACAGATGTGCAAGCTCATACTAGAGATAAAAATATTTGGAGAAAGCCGCCACAAAATGCTACAAGTTCTACTGAGAGTACTGATGCAGATGCAAAAAATATTCGACGGCAAAGTTCTCAAGATAGCAATTCACCTTTACATTCAATAGTTGAAGAAGATAAGAGAAAATCTAATGAACAATCGCCAGTAGAAAAATCATCAGCCAGTACCAATAAAATACCAGATTCACAAAACAGTGATGAGATTAATAAGCAAACAATTTACATACGTCCCCCAATTGATGAAAATCAACCAGCGCAACATGCTAAACATAACAGTTCGATTTATATCCGTCCAGATTCCGATCCATTGGTTTCTGATAATCAACCAAATATTCCAAAAAGAATCAGACGTCCATATATAAATGAAACAAATAATAAAATTGAAATCGATTCTGATAATGTCGAAACACCTCCAGTAACAAGGAAGCATCTCCATTTAAGTCATCATAATAGCGGAAACAGTAACTCAAAAGAAAGTAATAATGAAGGAAGTGAAAAACAGAAAATGGATCAGGAATTATTCTTAGGTGATGGTCAGTTTGATAGATTCTCATCAGCTCGTAGAACAAGGAGATTCAAACGTCCAATAGATTTAAGTAGTGCAACAGAAGGAAATACAAATCCATCAACAACATCGCCAGATTCAACAAGTGAAGCCAGTTTCTCAATAGAAAATCCAATAGATAGTCATGCATCGTCAAAAGACAATATTAGAATTAGTAATAATTGTAAAACAACGTTAACCAAAACTGAGCTAGTTTCAAATGATAATAACAGTACTAAAGAAGCAAAAAATAAGGTAAATAAGGATGTAGTTACAAGAATAGGAAAAATTGGAAAGAGTATTAGCAGAATAAGTCAGGAAGATGTTCGTGAAGCCATTAGAAGCTTGAAATCACCGACACCAGAACGTGAATGGAATATAAGGGATGGCTTCCGTAATGCTGCATCGAATAAATTAACGTCACATGAACTAAACGATGAAGGCTTTGAAGAAACTCAGAGCTTAGTGTCTGATACTCCATCATTAACAACATCGTCTTGTAACGAAGAAGCAAAATCAAAGAAAGAAAATTCACCTGATGACAATACTAGTTCTGTAAATGCAGCAAATGCTTCACCGACAAAGCGTCGAGCTCTTAAGCCATCAAGTCAGTTACAAACACTCCTGGCGAGAAATCAGCAATCTCTAGAAAGAAGTAGATCTTTAAGAACCACGGCAATGCCAACGGGAACCAGAAGTGCTTCGTCTACTCCACGAAGAACAAATTCATTGCGTAAGCCAGAGCAGCAGAACCAATTACCAAAACCTACTATCTCATCAATAGCAAATAAAAGGTTGGATGTAGAGAGAAGCAATTCGAGAGCAAGCTTGAGAAGTTCACGTTCATCATTAAATAGCGCAGTTTCAACAAATACTGTTAAGAAAATGCCAACGAAGCCATCTGTTCCATCATCAGCAGCTAATACTTCAAAAAGATCTTTACTTCTTCCACCCAATCCTTCATCTGCTAATAAATCTTCCAAGACAATAAGTAGAGTTCCAGCCAGTAGAAGTAGTTCCAGTGGATCGAGTATAGGACCAGCTATCAAAAAGCCCCCAACTCCATCTAAAATTTCATCCTCAGTCAGTACTAGCTTTAGAGAAAATCAGAGTAATCGTAGCAAGATTTCTCCTGCATCCTCGGCAGCAAGCACAAAAACCAATAGCTCAAATAGTATGAGTCGCACAAGCCCATCAGCAAGGCCTTCAAGTTTTATGAGACCAACCACATCAAGTGCAACAAAAGTCAAAAGTAAATAATCTCGAATAAATAAACCGAATTACGAACGATTCTCTTAAGAGACAGACCCTCCACAACTCACTCACATTTCCACTTCTTTCCACTAAAGAAATCTGATTTTAATTAATTATATCAAGAAATTTAATTCTCTGCTAATAACATTATTATTTTTTTTTTTTTTCGAATCGAAATTAAACACTTTTGTGTTTAAGAAGAACTCCTTTAAAGCTAACGTGCAACATCAATCAAATATTTAATCTAACAAATTAATCTTTTGAGAAATTTCTCGATTTTAAGCAACTGTGAATATTTTTATTTACATCCATAATAACACTGATATATTTTAAGAGGTATCATTAATTATATTCATAGTCCATCAAGGTGCCGTTCTTTTATTACGTTCACTTTTTAAAGAGGAGATTTTGGAACTGATCATAATAAAAAATTGTAACGATAAAGGGGGAGGGAGGTATAAAAATAATTTTTCTGTAACGTAATAAGCGAAAGGCTCCCAACAGCTTAATTTCGACTAAAACTATCTTGGATTAAACAGTAGTAAACCTTAAAAACAGATCTTTGTATTCCCAGACTGATAATTTGTAGTCCCAGTAAATTTGAATAGCTATAGATAGCGACATTATCACTTGACTCCAGAAAAAAATATATAGGTCCAGTAGTTTTTATACAAAATTGTGTTTTTGAATGTTCAGGATATAAAAAGATAAATTTAGTATATAGATAGGTGCTGATAGGTGATTTAGAAATTTGTTGACAAGTGATGACTGTCTAGCAATTTACTGCGATGAGATATTTAGGGTAGGAATTTGCTAGCAAAGATGTTAACAGAATGTTTGTTGATGTGATTTGAATAGCAAGTCATTTGTCAGCCATATATATCTGTTTGGGATTCCATTATATGTGAATTAAGATACGCTTCTAAATTTATATAATTTTATTTATATTTAAAGAAAAAAAATAAAGACAAAATGAAAAATATTTAAAATTGTGCCTTTTATTCCTTTATATTTGCTTGTATTGGTGCTGATCATGTGTGACATTTTCAACAAGGTTGCGACGACAGGTACCTGTCACAGGTCTGACTTGTCAAAGGTTCTGCCTGTCCCAGGCCGTTGCTTGTTCACAGGTCTGATCTGTCTAAGGTCGTCACCTGTTGACAGGTAGAAAAAATATCGATTTTATATCTATATTAGCATTCTTTATCATTTATAATACCTAGATATGTTTTAATATGCAATTTAAAGCATTTTTAGTTTCGATCAAAGAAGGCTTTTTTAAAAAAAATATCGATTTTTTATCTATATTAGCATTCTTTATCATTTATAATACCTAGATATGTTTTAATATGCAATTTAAAGCATTTTTGGTTTCGATCAAAGAAGGCTTTTTTAAAAAAAATATCGATTTTATATCTATATTAGCATTCTTTATCATTTATAATACCTAGATATGTTTTAATATGCAATTTAAAGCATTTTTGGTTTTGATCATAGTAGGCTTTTTTCAATAAAATATCGATTTTATAACTACTTTAGCATTCTTTATCATTTATAATACCTAGATATCACTAGATATGTTTTAAAATGCAATTTAAAGCATTTTTGGTTTAGATCATAGTAGGCTATTTTCAAAAAAATATTGATTTTATATCTATATTAGCATTCTTTATCATTTATAATACCTAGATATGTTTTAATATGCAATTTAAAGCATTTTTGGTTTAGATCATAGTAGGCTTTTTTCAATAAAATATCGATTTTATAACTACTTTAGCATTCTTTATCATTTATAATACCTAGATATGTTTTAATATGCAATTTAAAGCATTTTTGGTTTTGATCATAGTAGGCTTTTTTCAATAAAATATCGATTTTATAACTACTTTAGCATTCTTTATCATTTATAATACCTAGATATGTTTTAATATGCAATTTAAAGCATTTTTGGTTTTGATCATAGTAGGCTTTTTTCAATAAAATATCGATTTTATAACTACTTTAGCATTCTTTATCATTTATAATACCTAGATATCACTAGATATGTTTTAAAATGCAATTTAAAGCATTTTTGGTTTAGATCATAGTAGGCTATTTTCAAAAAAATATTGATTTTATATCTATATTAGCATTCTTTATCATTTATAATACCTAGATATGTTTTAAAATGCAATTTAAAGCATTTTTGGTTTTGATCATAGGAGGCTTTTTTAAAAAAAATATCGACTTTATAACTACATCAGCATTCTTTATCATTTATATTACCTAGATATGTTTAATCAGGGTTGCGACGACTGGTACCTGTCACAGGTAATGGTGACAGTTTCTGTCAAAAGATCACCTGTCACAGGCCGTTGCCTAAGGTTGTCACCTGTTGACAGGTAGAAAAAATCTACCTGTCACAGGTTTGACTTGTCACCTGTCACAGGTCACCTTTCACTATCGAAATTTTATTCCTCTTGTGAAGTATAAAGATTTCATACAAAATTCGCCAAGTTTTTTCTTCCTTAAGTCACTGATTCAAATCTCACCGCTTGCATTTTCCTTTTTTTTGCATTTTTATGATTTTTTTAAACTTTTTTGTTAAAATATTAAGTTTTATGATAAACTTTTCCATCTTCCATTTTCTTTTTTTATTTTCCAAATTTCAACTTGTATTGTAAATTTTTTCCATATATTTTCATACAAATTTAACTTTTTTTGTCATAATGTGTACACTTTTAAGCAGAGGTCGAAGTTGGTGAAGTGAAGTCGTTTCACTTCACTTCACTTCACTAAAATTTCAATCGGTTTTAAGTCAGCTCGAGTGAACTCATTTTTTTCGTATTCACTCGAGTCGACTTTTAACCGAGTTGATTTTTTCGTGTTCACTCGAGTCGACTTTTAACCGAGTTGATATTTTCGTGTTCACTTTATTCGACTTGAAACCGACTTGATTTTTTCGTGTTCACTCGAGTCGACTTTTAACCGAGTTGATTTTTTCATGTTCACTTTAGTCGACTTGAAACCGACTAGAGTTCACTAAGGAAAAAAAAAATATATTATAACAAACTGATTTCTGCTAGTGCTTGTGAAGTATATGTGATTACATACAAAATTGCAGAATTTGTCCTTTTTTACTTTTCATAACCATATAGCAAACTAAACGAATTAATTTAAAATATTTTTCAAACTTCCAGTTTATTATAATTCAAGTTTTAATTTTTTTTTTCATTATTTATGTTTGTACGTTGAAGAAATTTAACTCTATAAATAAGAAGAAAGTGTTACAGATCTAAATTTATTTTATTATTCTTGAAGATTAAATTTAAATGTATTATGCAGCACAATTTTTGTATCCTTTTTCCAGAGATCAAACAAATAAATCTGAAATTAAAATATATTTACCAAAATTGGAAATATGGTGTGAATTAAAATAATTTCATTCATAATTGTAGCAGTTCGTAATAAATAATTTCAAATCAGAAAAATAATCTATAGTGCAAAACATTTATAAAATATATGAAATCTAAAAAATATTTTAAACTAATTCGTTTAGTTTGCTTTATGGTTATGAGAAGTAAAAAAGGACAAATTCTGCAATTTTGTATGTAATCACATATACTTCACAAGCACTAGTAGAAATCAGTTTGTTATAATACATTTTTTTTTCCTTAGTGAACTCAAGTCGGTTTCAAGTCGACTAAAGTGAACACGAAAATATCAACTCGGTTAAAAGTCGACTCGAGTGAACACGAAAAAATCAACTCGGTTAAAAGTCGACTCGAGTGAATACGAAAAAAATGAGTTCACTCGAGCTGACTTAAAACCGATTGAAATTTTAGTGAAGTGAAGTGAGTTTGCTTCATCGACTTCGACCTCTGCTTTTAAGTTTAATAAGCTAAAATTTGACATAAAGGCTCAATTTCTAGACCTGAATGTTCTAAAATCGTAATCCTGGATCGTAATTTTATTATATATTTCGACTTTTTGCGGTCTCTAATGAGTAAGTCTATACTCCTCTTAATATTTTATGCACTTTTATGATATATAATACGGCCTGTGACAGGTGGGCTGTTTTCGTTGACTTGTGACAGATCGCAACTCTGTCTTTCAATTTTATTTTTTGTGAAAGCTTTTAGTTGAGCTTTACATAGAGCTTTTTTCAACGGAATTTCACATTTTAAACTGAGGGGGGTTAGAGTAAAATTCACCAGGAAGTTTAAAATTAGCTTCACCACAAAGTTTACATTTTTAATTTTTTCGCGTTTCTATCTGTTTTCGCTCATTATTTGTCATAAAACCTAGTGTTAATTAAGTTATAATCATGTAATATTATGGATGCAATAAGAGTTTTAAGTTTAAATGATAGGAATTGATAAATTACGATTCTTAAAAAATGTTGACACTTTTGAGTGAATTAAAGTTTATGACAAGTCGGGAAGATGAATTGAGCATTAAAAATACTGATTTTGGTGTATTTAAGTAGGTTAAGATTGTTATTTCTACTTATGGACAGCATATTAATTGAAAACGAATAATTTGTAGATCCAGTGAAAAAAATTCGTCAGCAAATTCAACAGGTGATAGCAAAACTTGCTATTATGCAAAGAAAGACTATGGAGAAAGAAGAGGATTTAATAGCTCATTAAATAATAAAGGAAATGCAAAGCTCAAAAGTAATCTCAAGCATGTCGAAGAGGAAATTAAGACCAAAAAGGTAGTTTTTTGTGGCTGGATGAACGAGAAGCTTTTCCAATTGATGCTATCTAATGGATTACTAATATACATTGAGATCAATATATTTACGGGAGACATCAAGAAGATCAATTTTGATCGTTATTTCATCGGAAAAACTGTTTCAGAAAATATTTGTGATGGTAAGCCACTGGATCTCTTACTGGATCATAAATTCTTATTGGACATTCTCATATCATTTTTTTAGTTATAATCACAAGGCAGCATATACTCATCTCATATAATGAGAATCAGATAACATTTGTGCACTTTCAAAAACCATCAGTAAGGAACAATGTACAGAAAATAGCTACTGGCGATCCAAAAATATTCAACATAATCGTTGATGGACAGACGAAAAAGATCAATAGAAACCTTGTTATCAATCACAGTAATGACTTGGTTCTAATATGGACTAAATCGTCACAAAATGAATTCTTTCCTTGGCGTCCCACCGTTAAGGATGAGGAACGAGCAAATTTGCACATTTATAAACTGAATCGACTAAAATTTGACCTGTTATGCTTTTATTGGACAGAGAATGATCCTATTGCCTTTGAGTTTTCAACATTTAATGAGAATGAAATTCATTCTGTAGAACAAAAGATATCAAGGAAGGGTGAAGTGACTGTAGAATCATGTACTTATTATATATCGAGCAGTAAATTTAAAATGCAAAGAACATCTGTGACTTCAATTCCTTTACAAACTGAAGTTTCATGTAGTGCATTTAGTCCTGATCATGAAAAGCTTTTTATGGGATGCATTGATGGATCTGTGGTACTTTTTGATGAAGGTCGAGGAACTACATATCTTGTTAAAGCATCCTTCATTCCTACACAAGTTACTTGGCATCCAGATTCGTCAATAATCATTATTGCTAATGAACGTGCTCAATTACAATGCTTTGACATTTCTCTTTCATGTATTAAAAATCAACTGCTTAGTGAGGAAATGACTCCTTCAAACGTGCTAGATTTATCGGGATTTTTTGTACGACAACCTATGCTTCAGAAAATTGGATGGAGCAAAAAGCCTGACATAAATTATCATTACGAAAAATATGCACAAGTTGACAATTTTCTACTTCTTTACTTCCAAAATGGTATCTTTGCAAGTTTGAGATATATTGGTGGAACTGGATTAAAAAATGATATTCATACGTCAGGATTAACAGCAGATGTAATAATCCAAATGTATATTAGCCTCGATCAAATTGATAAAGCTATTAACGTTCTACTTAGTCTTAATTGGGATAGTTATGGTGCTTTATGCTTGCTATCGCTTCATAAAATTGCCAATTATATCTTTAAACAACCTGCAATACCTGAAATGGAAGAGCTATTACAAAAGGCACTAAGTAGCTTTCATATTCCAACGAGACCTTTATGTACCGAGACAGAAAATGAGTTTGGAGACAATGTCGATGATATTACACGTAGATTCTTCCATTATTTGATCAGGTACGATGATGTTTTATGCTTATTAAAGGAATATTATTAATTTTGTGTCTATTTCGTAGGAATAAGTCTTTTGAGAAGGCATTTAGTCTTGCAATTGACATAAATGATGCAGATTTGTTCATGATTCTTCATAAATGTGCAAAATCGCTGGGAGTAAGCGACTTGGCTAATGAGGCTTTCAAAAAAGTTGAGGAAATATATGCAAAGGAGGAAATTGACAGCCATCGTAAGTACAGATTTATAACGGTCGATTTAGATGATTTTTCAATCCATAATTTTGTAGATTCAACATGCTCGATAACTTCATGCTCAATTTGCTCAAATTCTTATCATACAGACAGCGAAGAAGAGTCTGAAGCAGAAATTTATGAACAGGAAAATAATGTAAATGCAGAAGAAATGTCTGATGAAGATTTTGGATCTGAAATCAAGAAAACTCCAGAACGAGAACTGAAAAAGAGTGTCTCAGTTGATATTTTGAACCATCCGCCACTTCCTAGATTCCCACGATTTGACGTTAAAAACTTTCAGAAAAGTGAGAAAATTCCTCCGTTGCCAAATTTCGAGACATTGCCAAAAGAAAGTCACAATTCATTAGTTGTTCATAAAAGGTTGACATCCAGTGAATTAACACTACAGAATGTCACAAAATTCAACAAAACGTCGTCAAAGACTAAATTCAAAACAGTGGACCCACCAAGCACAAGCACTTTTGATCCAATGTCGCTGTTTAATTCTAAGAATCCACACAATATTAGGGAAATAAGAGAAATTCTTCCAAGCACTAAAAGTATACCAGAAATTGATCAAACTATTGGAATTCCAGTAAATTATGATTCAGCTGACAATTCTCTTAATCCATATTATATCCATCCAAAAGATAATAATCAAAATAATGAGTTTCAGCCTTCAACAACCATTCATACGTATCCATTAATATCAGGAACGATTCCATCTATGGCACTTGGAACACAACTCAAAAATATAAGCACTTTACCATTAGTATCAACATTAATCAATTCCAAACGTGAAATTGGAATTCCAACAAACTCAATATTATCAAATTCGAATAATGTACACCCAACAAATAGTAATAGCAATATGAACAAAAAGGAAGGAGGTGAAAAAAATAAAGTCAAGTTCTCAGATACTGTACATGTTGCTGTGGTTCCTGAAATATCAAGGAAAGAGAAAACAGTTAATTTTAATGAACGGATTATGAAAAGGAAGACATATCCGCCGGGTTATGATCCAATAAAGCGTGAATTAGCAGCTAGTTTGCCACTTTGTCATCCAAATGAGGAATATTTAAAAGACTTCCTGCCAGCACCAGATAAAGTAAGCAGTAAGGAAGAAAAGAAGAAGCCATCCATAAAAGTTGTGAATTTCGGAGTATTATAATATTAAGCATAAAGACTGAAAAATGTACTATCCGTAATTTTAAATCCTATAATCGACTATAAGTGTCTTTGAAGATCTAATAGAATTTTATGAATTATTTTTTTACTATATATTTTAAATTCAATAAATTTAATTGTACTATAATTTTAAAATTATTTCCGTCCTTTTGTTATTGGTCCACCAGCTGCATCCAACTGTGCCTTAAGATCGAGTAGCTCTTTATCTGGAACATATCGACTTTCCTCAATAAAGTCTGTATGATGCACAACAGATAAAGTGACGCCTTCGGGAAGTCCAGATTGAATAAAACGCAGAAAGACTGGATAGATTGGTGCTAATAAATCCGAGATCTGGATATATCTCTCATACTTTGTCAGATTATATTCACTTTCTATGTTAGAGCTATTTGGTTTATATCGTACGACTCTTGTTTTTTTCGGTGGATGTGCCCAACATTCGGAGACATCAAAATCCAATGATTCTGCAATTCTATGAACAAATCTCTGATAACTCTCAAGAACTGGATAATCATATCCAGTTATCTTTACGTTAATTACATCATAAGTAGGATATTTAGGCTTCAAGGCTTCTAAATAAGGTGGCTCATATAAAGATGCTTTTCTCTTGCTTAATTGCACAAACACTGGTTGTCTCGTGGAACTGAATAGATTAAACAAAAGCGGAGATGCTCGCTGAAATAATAAAATTTGTTGATTTTTTTAAATAACTTAATTAAATGTGAAGAACTTACTTTTAGCATTTTAAGATGATTGTTTGAAGAATATTGACGAGTTTACGATGACTTTCTGTTGACAAAAGCTTTATAAATGATAAGACGAATGAACAAGAATTATTAAAGCCTGTAAACACAGTAAAAATGAATTAATTAAAAATTATTACCCTTTCAGCAAGTCGACACAAATACATTCACAATACGGCACGCATATAGTCACAGTTTTGTGTTTATACATGGATTCTTGGCTATAAACTGATTTAATCGATCTCTTAAGAAGACAAATGATAAATGATGTGATTTTAAGGCTGGCTGCAATAGAGTGATTAGAAATGTGTTCAAAAATCCGTTGATGCCAACGGTTGGCTAAAATTCAAATGTGTTTTACAATAATAAGTCAGGAATTTCAGCACTTTTTAGCACTTAACCTTACTTCTTTCTTTTTGTTTATTTCTGCCCGAGAAATCGCATGTAAGTCAAGAAAATTAATTAATTAAAGAGTTTCCAAACACTTGTTTAACAAATAAATGCATACAAAATGAAGCAGAGCACTAGCTGAACAAGCTGTGCATGGAGTTTAATGCTTAATTAATCAAATAAGGACGAAAACTAATGAAATTATAATTTTTGATTATTTTTTTTTTAGATTTTTGAAGCAGAACATCCACAATGACTAGAACTCATGGTTATCGTCGAGGAACTCGCGACATGTTCTCGCGAGACTTCCGTAAACATGGAACAATCCCATTGGCAACATACATGAAAGTTTACAATATCGGAGACTATGTTGACATTAAGGTAAGTAATTATTAAGCTTAACTGGATCTTCTGGATGTTCACATACAATTTTTTTTCTTAATTTTGTAGGGTAATGGTGCAGTTCACAAAGGTATGCCATTCAAAGCATATCACGGAAAGACTGGACGCGTCTATAATGTAACACCACATGCATTGGGTGTGATAGTAAATAAACGAGTTCGCGGTAAGGTTCTACCAAAGCGTATCAATGTCCGTGTTGAACATGTTAAGCCCTCAAAGTGTCGCGAGGAATTCATGGCTAGAGTTAAGACAAATGATGAGAAACGTCGTGAAGCTAGAGCTCAAGGCAAACAAATCATCCTTAAGCGTAAACCCGTCGATCCATTAAAGGAACGAGTGATTGTAAATCCACCAGAGCCCGTTTTCCTCGCTCCAATTCCATATGAATTTGTCGCCTAAATGCGCATTTTACTATTGTTGGATTCAAATAATTTATCAATAAATGAAAACATCTCAAGATAAATTGCTACACTAATTCACTTCTTTTATTCAATTCGTGGACATTTTAGTGACCTACTTACTGCAGCTTTTGTTTCTATTTGACTGAAAGCTTTATAATTTATTTTGATTTTATTTCAGATTGATCTCTAATTACATGAATTATTACTTCATTGCTGGAAAAGCTATATAATTTCAAAACCTGGCATCCAATGTAATTCAGTAACAACTCATTGTTATCTAGCAAAAATTAATCATAATTGTTACATTCAGAGGAGACGGGATAAATATTCAATAAAATTATTGTTTCTACCCAATTTTACTCCAACATGTGGGTCCTTTATTAAGCTAAAAAGTATGGGGCCGTTCACTTATTACGTTACGCAAAAAAACGACTTTTTTCACCCCCCTCCCCCCCTTGTTACAATATGTTACAATTCACAACCCCCCCCCCCCCCCCTGAACTTTCATAATTTATTTTATCATTAAAAAGGTGGAAAATTTAAAAAAATGTTTTTGGTGTGAATTTGTAAACAATTTTTTTTCGTGAACTTTTTTTAAAGACAGACGACAGTTGGAACGTTACATACTTCTTGACCCCCCCCCCCCCCCCTATGTTACATTTTGTTACAAATTTTCAAACCCCCCCCCCCCCCCTCCCCCCTAAAATGCGGCCCCTATACATAAATATATCTACATCTCTAATAAATTACTAATTTGAACAGTTTTGTACAAAGCTCAGATTTATGACACAAAAAGGTTGAATCCAATAATGTCTATTGTAGCATCTTTAGAAGATCACTGTCTATTATTTCTTTATAATTTTTACAATTTAATGACTCTGGTTTCTCATTAAATTCCATAATGCTCACCTCTTTATGGACCTCCACAATTCTCGTTGATTCGATTGAGTGATAAAAGTTGGGATCCTGAAAGGAACAAAAATCATTAGAGATAAATCTTAATCTCTAGGTAGACACCTGATCTTTAAACCAATATATAAGATACTTACATCACTTGACATTTCTGGTTGCCTCATACAATAAAATCCAAATTCACTCGGATGTTGGATTAGATGACTTACCATTTTTGCTGTATTAAAAAATAAGTTATAAAAAGCAATTACGAATTTAAAAAAAAACTTATACCTTCTTTATGACACCCATGGACGCAATATAAACACTGATACATTCCATAACCATTTGCTTTGAAAGCTTGATCTAAAATATGAAGACACTTTTCAACTTGTATCCTCTCATGCTCAGTACGATGATTTTTTTCACAATGCTCAAGAAATTCTTTCAAAGGATAAAATCCAACTTGACAAACTGGAATTGAATGAGTTGATTTGATTAGGTTCAATATTAGTTATGGGTCGTTCATTAATGACTTAAAACCCCCAATACATAAATACAAAAATAACGAGAGAAGAGAGTCTAAAAGTCTCAATTACTAAAATAAGTCATTTATGAATAATCTGGAATAATCCATTAAGAAATTTTGAGGAAACCTACCTTTACACATTAGAGGAACTACATTTATCTTCCGCTTCTCCAATAGCCGCTCCATGACTTTTTTTCTAGCTAATTGGAGCTTTTCTATTCCAAGACATTCGTAGATTAAAATTACTTTATTTTTATGTGACTTCTCCCAATGCTCCAAGCTTGTCTCCTTTGAACAGCTTCTGAAGAAACAAAATCCACATTGATAAATGTCTTTGCGATGAATATCATTGATATGATGCACAAGAGTTTTTGAATCTTTCTCTCTTATGTGACAATAAGAACAGCAAAGGAAGTGGTCGTAAATAGCTATAAGCTCTTCAGACTCTTTAAGTTTAAGCTTATTCTTTTCGTGACTATCAAAAACAGTTTTCCTCTCAGTCTTGTATTTATTAATAATTTCATCACTTTGTTTCTTTATGTCATAATCATGGATCGAATAATGATTCAACATTTTTAATGGATCGTCTGTAGCATATGAGCATTTTTTACCCATACATTTAAAAAGAGCAATTAATGGATACTTTTTGGTCATATTTCTATATGCTATTTCATATTTTTCATTCGACCTTATTTTTTTGGGATCAATTTCCCAACACATTAAATCTAGTCCTCGGAAAATTTTCAAATTTTTTGGCACTTGCTTTTGAGAGAGTGTCGATGGTATGGGTGACATAGGTTGCATCTTGCTTGATGAAGTTGATATACATTCAACTCTAGCAACAGTTGAACTTGGAAAACGAATTTGAGCATGTTCTTTACAATTGGAATGAGATGAATTTTGAACATTAGTATCAGATCTTTTTATAGGTATAATCTCTAAATTTTTTAAAGGATTGGAACTATTTCCTTTCTTGTGAATCTTTGGCTTTAAACTTAGTTTATCCTTCGTTCGTTTTAGATCCCGATGGGCTTGTTTTGGTGATGAATCCTCAGATGATCCACTTTGATTTGATTGCCCATTTTGAGAACTCAAAGACTCGACAGTGTCAATTCTTAAAGATATTTTACGTTTTCTATCCATTTGACATTTTGGGGAACCAATGATCTGAAACTGTTTAGGACTGCTTGATTTGCATCCATTTAAAGTTTTGTCTTTAGTTCCATTTGCAATTTCCGACTCATATAGATTCTTTGGTTCCATATTGATGCACTTCTCTTGTTTTCGAGATTCTTCAAAACTTTCAATTGTCCCTACAATTTCCTCTTCCTGTTCAAACTTAATATTTTTAATTATGTCGCAATTTTTAATAAACTTTAAATTCTTTTCCTTGTTCAAAATTATTACAGCCTTTTTGAGATGAAAGTTATCCATATGCTAAAATTCTTCTTCAAGATTCTTTGTTTTAATCGAGGTTTGGCAAAGATGGCAAAAGCTATATTTATAAAATTCAATATCAGTTTTGTGGTGATCACGAATGTGTTTAACGAATATATCCTTAGATTTCGTTTTAAAATTGCACCACTCTGAATAGCATTTAAATGACAAATTATCCTTAGTATGGCAGCAAAATCCGATGTTTAATACTCTTTTAAAATCTTCTTGAGTTACTTTAACTCGTGGTGTAAATTTCTTGGTTGGCTTAATGACTTCAGAAGAAGATTCAGAGAACTTCTCACTATTGGCTGAAATACTATTGAAGTCAAAATAAAGTGACTGCCTTCTTTTCCTGAATGGCAAATGGTTTTCTTGGGCTTGTTCCCTTTTTAAAGTTTGTTTCCTTAAGTTTCCGAATATTTCTGGAGCTGGAATCAATATTGGCATAACTAAAGACGGCTTCAAATTAGTGTAATCTGGTGCTTCTTCCAGTGTTGGAAGTTTGTCGTTTTCGTTGAAAGCTTCAGTGATTTCTAACATCTATTTATTAAAAGAGAACAGTAATTAGTAGCGATTCAAAAAGATTAAAGCACAAACGGCCTGTTTCACTAAAGTGGATTATCTTCGATTTCGGATTATCCACTTCAGTTTTTTGGAAATATCTCCAGATGCTTAAGGTTATTACGAGATCTAATGTGTGATCTAGTTAGAGTATTTTGCTACTTAAATTAACATAAACTTATAATTTTTATATCTTCACTAGTTTGAGAATTATAGCAAATATCGAAGATAATCTACTAGATTTGGCTAGAAAATTGAATAATTAATACTTCTTAACGAAAAGCAAAAGTTTAAAGTATACAGAAATTTCAGGCATACTTCACTCTATTATAATCCAAAATTAGAAATACCACACCTCCCATAAAGTTTAAGATATTTACAAAAAACTAAAGTGGATAATCCGAAATCGAGGATAATCCACTTTAGTGAAACAGGCCGAAAGTTATTATTTTAAATGCAAAAATGATTGAAATAATGCGATTTTAATGTTGATAAAGTTAGGGATCATTCTTTTATGACAACTTTATTTGGGGGAGTTTGATAATCTCATTTGTGATGGATAACTCTTTTCGGAATAACTTTACGTGATTTTATTGATTATTTACTTGTATTCTTGGATTTTGCATACACAATTGTTATTTATGTGCATAATTATGCTGCTCTATGCAGTTATTAAGTTTGAATAGCTTGGATTGTCTTATCTAGCAGTCGCAGTGATGATCAATGAGTTTTTGAATCATTCGCTAACTTAATGGACTTCACATTTTCAATATGTTTTGATCCACCCTCCCCGGATTGAGATGATTTTCATCTAAATTCTAAGTTTTTAAACAGTTATCTTTAAATTTTTCAAATCAATATCAATGCGCATGACGAACGGATCGTCTCTTTTTGATTCTTTATACTGTAATACTATACAAAACAATTGTTGTATTTTTATGTTTTTACTCGCGAAGATCAAGTTTGCTCTACGATAATTTCTTATCTTTGGATGCTTATAATGGCTTATGGTAAGTTTTAATAGATTTTTCTGACACGAGTTACATGCTTAATATTAAATCAAATTTTTTAATGACTATAACCAGCTATAAACTTACACAAAATAATTAAATATTTTTGAAAGCAACTTCAGCATTAAAAATTGCGTCAATCACCGGCAAAAAACTGTACCTGACTAGTAAGTTTAGATACCTGACTAAAACTTTGTTTATTGACATAAACAATGCAACAAACCACCAGCAACGCAATAAACTATTTCTTAAAAAAAAATTTGCTTCCATAAAATAAATTGAGAATTCCTTCCATACAGCTCGAATGTTATTTTGCTTCTAAACCTCTCAGTATGTTATAAAAAATCAAAAATTCTGAGAGAGGGACTAGAGCAAAGAGACGAAAAGTTATTAGACATAAACAAAAAAAGAGTAAAGATAACTAACATAATGAAACAATTGTCGAAGATCACGTACTTTATTTGCTCAGGAAAAGTAAAGAAATGACAAAAGAAGGAAGAATGCATAAGTGTGAGCAACTCTTTTTTGGAATATGAGTTTATGCGAAACACATGCTTATAGTAGATTCATCAGCATTTATGAATGGTCTTCATATGCATTTTTTTTTTGGATTTTCTACAACAAGTGTAAAAAAAATTTCGAGCCAGTTCTGTCATGAATGATCTTTGTAAGCAAAATTTCAAAACATAATTTTTGATTTGGTAAGTTTTCAGTCTTTAAATATGTAATCTCTAAAAAGATTTACGGTCAATAAGTTTCAATCTTTAGAATCTTTATCTTGGTTATAGATTCGGATAGATATACTTAGCAAAGAATAAAAATAAAATTCATTATTAACAGTAGTCACTAATGGCTATAACGTCATTGGATGGAATTATTTTGCCCTCCCCCTACTCGATTTTTTGTATTGAGATGCCACAAAACTCAGAAGACATGAACGATGAATGACATCATAGGTGCACGAATTCAATTTTAGAATCTATTAAAAGATAATCTTCAGTTCTTATCGCGACATTTTTAGTGAACCATAGCAGGAAAATTCCTTAAAATGAGATGAATTTAAAAATCATAAAGAGTGCTACAAAAACATGCCAAATAATTATTAATAATAAAATAAAAAGCGAGTCATTTACTTATTAATTTATACAAAAACTAGATTTTGAGGCACATTAAAAAATTTACTTTGTTTAAAGTGTCACAAAATCTCAAACTGATTGAACTTGAGTCTTATTGTTTTGATGAAAATGATTAAAACATTTATATCACAGATAAAAAAATTAAAATCCTTAGAAGCTTTGATTTGTTTTTAAATTAAGGAACAAGTAAAACTACTTAATGAAGGAGACATCTCAATAGCTTGAAATTGAAAGCATGAATCTTCTTTTATACATCACACAACTCATCATTTAACATTTTGAACTGATTTTCCATACCTTTATGCAAAATTTACTTGGCACAATTGAAAACATGTGTTGAGCCTATAAAAGGACTTTTATAACTGATGGGTATAAATATTTTTGATGGGAATGACAATTGATGATTTTTTAAGTGATGCCATTCATACGAATAGCATGATGACACGTCAGTTGTTCATTTTATTATCATCGAGATCGATTACGAATGTGCTTTATTTATTATTATGCAGTTTTACCCTATTTATGTGTATGCTTAGTTAAAATATTAGAACTGACAATTACAAAATTGTAATTGTTTTGAACACTTGTTGATTGTTGACTGGTTCTGTTCTATAGAGATATGTAGTTCTCCATAGATACAGACTGATTTTAGCGCAGAATCCCGATAATAAAAACGACAATTTACTTTGCAGAATTGCAGACGGGAGAGCAGCTCATTCCTCTGTCCACCAAATTTTACGAATATGCTCTTTTTTAACAAAATTAAACCTTGCATTTGATGTGTAGTACTTTTTGACCACAGTATTACAAGCTTACCTGAGATTGCAATCAAATAATTAGTTCCAAATTGAAATTTGTCACCGAATTTAATTAAAGGATTACAACAGAAACAGTTGACAATGAACATCAGCAAGTAAAATACTGATTAAACTAAACATAGCATAATTAAATTATGAGTTCATGCTGTCCAGTGGCTCTCAAGCTGTTTTCTGCGTATATGAAACAATTGCATGTCTTCAAGTACCGTCTTCTTTTCAAAAAAAAAATCTGGATATGAATCTGTGCCACTTTTTATGTCAGTGGTTCTCAAACTTTTCGGAGTGCGACATACTTCACCAGCTCGAGGGCTCTCACTAGCAATTATTGATCGCAATGTGAAAGCTAACGCATGTTCATAAATGATGTCACAGAAGAAGGGTTAGAGCTCTAGAACAAAATAATTTCTTGGAACTCTGTTGTTTGTCTGTGAAAAATGTTATTTATGAACAATCGTAAACCTGAGATGACTGGTTAACAGTTTTGTGGGTCTGAGACTAATAGTTTGTGAGCCACTGGACAAAAAAAATTGTTTACGTCTGTTTCTGAGTAAAAAAATTTTTTTGACTTGCTTTAAAGTTTTAGATAAATGTTCGTGGTCATCAAATGATTAAGCTACAAACATTCAAATTAAATTATAAACATGATGTCACTTGCTATATTATCTGTGGCTTTTGTTCAATGAATCATTGCCATGTAACCAGTAATTTAGATTCATTTTTATAAATCATCATTTGATATGAGTTTCAAGCAGTTGATTCAAACTTATTAATGAATGGCAATGTAAGGATCTTTTATTTGCTGTCTGTGATTGAGTGTAGTTTAATAATTTTTATTTAATCCGTAAATTTTGATTGTCGTAATAGTTTAATTTATTTAACTTATATTGTCTTACATGTTACGGATTTTTAAGAAATTTGTAGCGTGCTACACTCGTTCACGACTTAAAAGTAAATGAAAGAATCTACGTTACTGCGCCTGAATGTTCAGGTGCATATTAGTAATTGTAACGAGTAATTTGAATCGAGTGCAGACGTTACAAATGATATGTAAATAACAAATTGTATAATATAATTAATCATTAGTTTTAGGATAGTTTAATCAATTAACAGTTATTCTAAATAGTAGATTTAATGTAGAAATTAAGGAATTATGCTTAAAATGCATGAATTAGTTAAGTTTCCTATATCTGTTAATAATTACAATAAAAGCTGTCGTTTCTGTTAACGACAGCTGTCTATTAGAAATCTCTTATTCGTATTTCTTTGATTTCAATTAATATTTGTAGAAGATTTGCACAAATGAAAGTAAGGTCAAGGCAACACTTAAATCATGTATCATGGGAACTTTTGGCATCAATAAAACATGCCCATGAGCATGAAAAATGAAAATAACATTATTGAAAAAATTTTATAATAGCATTACTGATATGTACAAATGTCCAATATGACCAAAGAACAGAGGTCGAAGTCGATGAAGCAAACTCACTTCATTTCACTAAAATTTCAATCGGTTTCAAGTCAGCTCGAGTGAACTCATTTTTTTCGTGTTCACTCGAGTCGACTTTTAACCGAGTTGATTTTTTCATGTTCACTTTAGTCGACTTTTAACCGAGTTGATGTTTTCATGTTCACTTTAGTCGACTTGAAACCGACTTGATTTCTGCTAGTGCTCTGCCAAAGAATATTAAACCCACTCAGTTTATTATGATCCTTTTCACAAAAACGATTAATTGAACAACAAAAATGCATCAATTGTATTATTTTTTTCATAAGCTGAGCTGTTCATTCTTGGAACTGTTCATAAATGACGTCCAAGAAAGAATCCTCTCTCCTAGTCAAAAAAATTTATTATGGAAAGTTTCATTTGTTTGAATCTTCACACAACCAAGTGAAGCTCAGGAGGAAAACTACTTGATGGGTAAAAAAAGGGAAATTTTCGATCAAAAATGGTAAAACAAGGGAAAAAAGCAGAGTTTGAAAATAAAATGAAAATTGCTCTATTTTGAAAATAAATCAAAATGAAAATTATGAAAATTGCCAATTTTGATCAAAGCAATTTTGCAATTTTGTCAATTTCAGAAAATTGCAATTTTGGAAATTGTTTATTTTCCAAAATTGCAATTTAAGTATAGTATCTTTAATTTAAAATAAACTTAAAGGAACAACGCATCAAACACGCAGGAATTAGCAAGTATTAAGTTAAAAACGAATATCAACATCCAGGAAATAAACTGTATCTTTTGTTTTTCTGAAGAAAAAATTCATTTAAAAAGAAGAAAATTTTCATACAAAATTATTCATCAAATATTTATGACGTCACAAAAATAAAAATTGATAATTTCCAAAATTGCAATTTTGGAAAATAAACAATTTCCAAAATTGCAATTTTCTGAAATTGACAAAATTGCAAAATTGCTTTGATCAAAATTGGCAATTTTCATAATTTTCATTTTGATTTATTTTCAAAATAGAGCAATTTTCATTTTATTTTCAAACTCTGGAAAAAAGTAAAATTCTAATTTTTACCATTTTTCCTATTTAAAATTTTTGATATGTGCAGTGGAATAGTGGTTGAAGGGATGAAAAACTTATAAATTCAATTGTGAACGATCCTATTTGTTGATATGCATGATATTCAACTTTCAGAGGCCTACAACTCCACCTCATTTCATTATGGCAACAATCAAAACTCTGTAATTCAATCTTATCATATTCACACAAAATTTTCAATTTTTGTGAATATATTGTTTTTGGTTTTTCGGAAAATCAGTTTTTTTAACTTTCTGCTTCAGGCTTACGGAATCAATCCTAATACCTGATATGTAAAAGTTTGTGCCTCGAATACCTATCTAATGGTGAAAACAACTTTTCATTTGGCAGTTACAGTTCCGAGAAATCGCAAAAAAAAGGCATTCTGTTTGTTAATCGGTGCGATAACTCGATTCAAACTCAATATTAAGACTTCCGGATTTTTGCTTCTGATAGATAATGGATATCGCAAGAACTGTATTGTTTTTGGAGTCATAAGATGCTTCCAGTGAGGCACAAGATGCATAAACATTTTTATATGGGAAAAGTTTAACCGATTATTACATAACATATTTATTTTTTGTTTACAACGGAAATATTTGTTGGTAGTAGTTTGATATTAATAAAATGCTTGTGACAGTATGCATTAAGTTAAATGTATGTAAAAATTGTTGGAACTGACGAGTTCCTTCACAATATTCAGATTACTGGATCTATGTTATTGAGTACATACTTTACTTGTATCATAATGGAAGTATGTTTTTGGTTCCAGTCTTGATTTTTTTCTTGCTGTATACTTACTGGATCTTGGTTCCAACGATAGCACAATTTCAATTTCAATTTTAGTGGACTGGATTTAATTTTTAATGACAAATTATATTATTTAACCAATTTTTCACAATGATCTCTCAATTTCAACAAATTGTCAAAGCCCACTGAGAAATTTTACTTATTTCTTAATCATAAAAAAATTGAAGTTGAAATTGTCAAAGCCCTCTTAAAACTTTTTCTCAAATTTTACTGGATCTTGGTTCCAAGTTTCAAACATGCTCAAAATTTACTGGATCATGGTTCCAAGTTTTAGACTTGCTTAAAACTTTACTGGATCTTGGTTTTATGTTTCAGACATGATTAAAACTTTACTGGATCTTGGTTTTAAGTTTCAGACATGATTAAAACTTTACTGGATCTTGGTTTTAAGTTTCAGACATGATTAAAACTTTACTGGATCTTGGTTTTAAGTTTCAGACATGATTAAAACTTTACTGGATCTTGGTTTTAAGTTTCAGACATGATTAAAACTTTACTGGATCTTGGTTTTAAGTTTCAGACATGATTAAAACTTTACTGGATCTTGGTTTTAAGTTTCAGACATGATTAAAACTTTACTGGATCTTGGTTTTAAGTTTCAGACATGATTAAAACTATACTGGATCTTGGTTTTAAGTTTTAGGCATGATTAAAACTTTACTGGATCTTGGTTTTAAGTTTCAGACATGATTAAAATAGCTTTCTTTATTGGTGGGAGTTCGAACAGTGGTTTGTTCCCATCTTTTGGTTTGCTTTCGTTTGCTACTCTTTTTAAAGGAGCGCTGGGAACTGTTTGTTTTTTTGGTTTGAGATTTGTCATCTCAATGTCGGCTGCTTGTGAAACATTTTCACTGAAAATTTCCTCAATATTGAGAATTGTCACTGAAGATGAATGTTGTTGTTGAGAACTATTAAGTCCATGATGATTTTGAGAAAGATTGTCTTCGTTGTTGGAGTTTTTGGTGACTCTACCATTTTGATGTTTTGAGAATCAAACTGAGATTTTGAAACTTTTTGCAATCAAAAAGCTTCTCAGGTAATCTCTGTTTTGTTTCTTTTGAATAATTTGCGGAGCGATTTGTAAACACGTCTGTTCACGTTGAGATCTAGTTTGCAACTGAGAACTTCTTCCAGTTATTAAATTAATTACAACGAATCCCCATAGAGTTGTTTGAACAATAGAGTTCAGATTCATGAAATTAACTGCCATGACTTGCATTTTTGTAGCATTTGATTCCAATCTCACCTTAAAAGACCTTGTTTAACATAAGTTTTTCAAACATCTATTCATCTTAAATTGTGCAACAATGCAGTGACCCTTTAAGGACTACAATTTTACCTTAATATTTCATACTTAAATATTTATTATGTTATAAAAGCACTCAAGTATACAGCGCGTAATCTCTCTAAGCAGTTGTGTGTGCAGCAACCAATTAAAAACTCTTTAGATCTCAAACCAGTTTCAATGTTAGGTCTAGTTCCAAATTTAAGGTCGAATGACTTTCCTACCTCTGCAATCAAAGTAAAAAAATGCATTTTTGGCATATTTTGATAACATTTTGCTCTTTATTTCACATATCATCGTAAGTTTTTCAATAAATTACAATTTTATGTTCATACTTTTTATTATTTTATGATACATTTAATTAAAGATTTTTTAATTTATTCATTTATTTAATTATCATTTCCATAATATTAGCAATAGTTTATTTATTTATGTTTTTTTTATTACTCTTAATTCAATAATTCATTGACTCAATTCAAATAATTGTCGCTGTTTATTTCTTCAAAAAACACATTAAGCGAAACAACGACGGGTATAATTAATTCATTGCATTTTTTTATCTCTTTATTATTGACGTAATCATAACTTAAGATTAATTTTTGTTTAATGATTAGATTACAAGCTTTGTGAAAGCATAAAAAATATTATCTTCCTTTTCTTTTTTTTTATAAATATAATCGGGTCGAGTGATAAAAGAATAGAAAAAGTTTTCTTTTAAAAAAATTGATGGAAGTAAATGATGTGATTATATGAATCGAGTATGAATGGACGTTTGTGATTGAATCGAATCTTTTGGGTTTTGCATATCTACTCGAAGCTATTCGAAAATGCAGAGACAAAACTAGAATCAATTAATGAACTACATGGCAAATTGTGCTAATTAAAAGCTATTGAAAATTTGTTAATTAAGTCTCAAGATCACTCAGCTTCTCACGAGTTTTGTGACTTTATGGTCCTAAAGTAAGGCAGTAATTTCGGTACAAAATTATTTAAAAAATGCATAGAAAATTGGACCAACTTTAGTTCAGGTATCACCATCTTTATTAACCATTTTATTAGAGATGACAAAGTTTGGAATTGAAACCAAGAATTATCATGGTCCCGAAACATAAATAACTCTTGAAGTTGAGCAGCCTTGTGCAAATCCAAGAATGTTTGTAATTATTCTATTCTTCCACAAAGTTATAAAGTAATAAAAACATGACTCTGCTGTTTTGATCTCTACATTATCCAATAATTCTCTTTAAGGGTCAATTTTAAACTAAATTCTTTTACCAATTTTATTTACAGGCGACTGACACATTCCAATATCATTTTTGATTATCGAATTTTTAAGGAATTGAAACTATCTGCTTCCTCTTTTTTAAAAAAATAATCAATACTTTATGTGTGTAAGCAGTACATGGATGTATGCCATAGAGGGATAAAAGACGAATTTATTTACAGAAGCACTTTTAATTCTAGAAAGGTTTTAAAAAATATTCGTTTGTTCTGAAGACTTTGACATAGAAATACTTGGAAACTACTCTACTCAATTCATCAACGAAGCTGTGATCTACATTTTATAAATCCTACATTAATGATCACAGATTATTTTATGAAAAAATAGTGTGGAGTTTCCTAATTATTTTACAATTTATGTTTGTAAAAGATTGCGGAACTACACTAGTGATTTGATGTAGAAAACTGACACTGGGAACAGTAACTCAAGCGGCACATCATGCTAAACATAAAACTTATATTGTCATGATGGGCAGTTAGAGTATTTTCTACTTCAAACCATACCTAGTGCCTTCCTCATTATTAACGAGTTTATCGAAATGGAGTAAAGAAGTTATTAAGCTAGCAGATGAAAATATTACGCTACAAAAACGTTTCTGTAATTTATTGTATGTATGTTAGTGATAATTTAAAACTTTATTATGTGTGTATGTGTCGTTTCTATGCACTTTTATAATAGAAATGAAATTATTGATCATTGGTTTTGCATTTAATGACTTGAAATATCATGAGAGTAAGCTTGTTTGAAAGTTTGAGCTAGTACAAGAACATAAATCAATCCCTTTGACACATTTTTTTTAAATCTTTAAATAATTTACGACTTCCTTCCATCACTATCTATAATTTCTCAACATATGCAATTCGTATAACTCGTAAAAGTTGAGCAACTTTTGAATTAAGCAAAAGTCTTTACAATTCCACTACAATAAAGTTGCGCAAAGTCGTTCCAATCAATCAAACCTTAGTGAGCTTTATACTTTCATAAATCTATAAATTGATCGTCAAAGATAGATGTTGGGGATTAAGGTTGTATGTTAAATTCCTTACTCGATGCAAGTAATTATTTCCATCCTTTGTGTCTCATTTAAAAATAGATGAGTTGGTTACTTTCTAATTCTGGAATGGAATGCAATTATTGAGCATTGCTTTTTGCTATCTTAATAAAGAGGCTTTTGGATGTTCAGGAGGAATGAGTTACTTACCTACGCATACAGTGTACTCTCAATATAACTTGTAGGAACAAAACCTTCTTCCATCATATTGCCGCTGACCATTCGGCGTACTCTCGTCCATCCATCTCCTTGATCGAGTTCTATCACATAAAGTTCTTCGCTTTCCGCCATTGGAATACTTCCTTCACTTGTAGCTGTGAATTAATTATCTTATTACTCAATGAATTCGATTGTTATGGATGCAAAGACTTACCATCGAATGGATAAAGTGCTTTACAAGTCCCAAGAGGTTGTAAAGCATCGGATTCATAATACATATCCTCGCTCAAATGTTGATCATTCGTGCTACCTTGGCCTGAACCTGGCAGTGAAGAGTGCGACGTTCCAAGACCGCTTTCAGGACTTGCCGAACTACTACTTAATTATTTAACAGAAATAAGGAAGAGAAATTTGTCAGAACATTAGTTTTTGATGGTTACGAATGTAGACATGCAGAAAAACAAGATGAGTTGGTTCAATAACTGCTAATCTTTAATATATCCCGGCATGTTTCATGTTTACTTGAAGTTATTGAACCAACTGCTCATTGCTAAGTAAATCATAATCTACTCTGTGCAACCAAATGTGCAAAACTAAGGCTAAAAATTTAAACCAAAATTGTATTGAAATTTACAAAATTTTACAAATTAGCTTGGGGACATTTATTTGTTGTTGATATTGGTCAAAACGATCAGCAATTTTTCTATACTAATGATAGAATGACTAAATCATTAGCTGAGGATGTTTAAACAAAAAGCAATGTCAAAAGTGATTATTTTGAATTTTCCGCTTGATAACTTGCTTGATATCTTACTGAGGGCTATGTGAAATAGTTTAAGTGAGTACACGAATCACTTTTTGCGGCTTAGTAGCAAAAAATAATAAAAATTTAGGACTTAAAAAAATTCTACATGCTACACAATGTCTTAACAACATTTAAAGGAGATCTGAAACATTTTTGTGAATGAAGGGAAGTAGATTTATTAAAAATTATAGTTTAATATCCACTCCCTCAAACTCTTGTGTCACAGATTCCTCTTTCTAAATGAAAGACATCATAAATGAATAACCATTCTGCAGCTATAAGCTTTTATACAATTTTGCAACGTCACTGCCAATATTTCCAAAAAAATGCAAGTCTAGACATCTAGAGTAAATTCAAGTGTATGCAAAACATATTGTACATAAAGCTTTAGCGGAAAATTGCGCAAGAAACCATCATTAAACTTAAGTCAGTGAGAGTATTTTTTGGGATTGTAAAAAGAAACCGAGGCAAATGTTAAAGTTCTAAAAATATATTAGGATCATCCATAAAAGAGTCTAGAGTTAAAGAAATTTCATATCTCATTAAATATTTAATCCAATAGTAATTAGAATGTGATTGTTTTGCAAATTTCAATAAAAGTATCAAAAATTATGAAAATATCAACGCCAAAAATAAGTTTTAAGGAACGAAAAAAATTTTGTACAAGGACTAATAAAAAGGAATCGAAAGAGAGCATTTTTTGAGATAGGAAAAATGTACCCGTTATTGTTATTTTCATTGTTATTATTGTTTATGTTTAAGAGCCCATTTTGTGCACCATTTTGTTGATTGACATTATTCTCTGATGCTGACCTGCTCAAACTTCGGGCATCGTCAACTGCTTCATCTCCATCGTCATTGCTACCGTTGGAATGTCTATTGTGGAAATCATTACGTTTATTAATGGATTTACTTTAAATTTTAAAATGTTTTGTAAGGACTATGAGTATGTCATTTGATGAATTATTTTGGGGGGATATTACGGGGGAATTAGTAGAATTAATAAAATTTGCAGCTCCAGATTATTGCGCAATTTTAACTAATCGGATTTTACAGTTTATGGCAAAATAGTGGATAATAATGAGGCTTAAGCATGAAAAATGAAACTAATAAAGGATCAGCACGAGTATTGAGTGACTTACCGAGATGATCGATGATTTCCATTTTGGTGGTGAGTAATACGATTCGGTTGTGGACTATGTTGGTTATTATGGTTTGTATTCATTTCGTCTAATAATATTTGATATTTCCTTAACTCATTCTTAAACTTCTCGAGATTATGTTCACATTGTTTTAATTGTCCTTGTACAGTTTGTGGATCACCGAGCAGAGCATTACTCTCGTATACTCCCTTCATTTTTATAAGACCATCACGTGCTCCTTGTTCTTGGCCAATACTCTTTTGTAATTCTTGTATCTTTGACTGCAACTTTTTCTTACGTTGTGACGGTGGAAGGTCGCTAAAATCATCCTTCATGCCATCGGCAGTTATTGTATTCTAAATTTTCAAAGGAAATTCAAATAATAGAACTATTAGCAATGATTCATTGTTGGATTTTCTCCACAAAACAACATAAGAGACTTAAAAAACGCAATAAAATATCCCCAAAATCAAATAAAAACATAAAATTAGTAAATTAAGTGTTAAAACTTTTTTGTGCATTTTCTTTTGTAATTTAATTTGCATCAGCGTTAAATTGTGATGTTTATAGAAATAGAAATAGTCCACTATGAGCAAATTCTATATTTTGTGTGCTTTTTTCTATAATTCACTAGTTAATTAAGAAATTTGGTATGTGTACTTTAGTGGCATAGCAAGGTGAGGATGACTAGAATTGTGACTCTAAACATCTTATATAAAAACATGTAAATATTAGATTCAGTTCCTGACATCAAAACACCTTGCTAAGGCACTATTATTCATATCCAGCTTAAATTAATAGATCAGTTTGTTGAAAATCTTAAAGCTGCATTAAGATGATGCGCAGATTAACAACCCATACACAACATTATTTTGCACTTGTTGCACGTCTTTGTTCCGTACTCATTATTTACACGATAGCATTGTAAGTATTTTACATCTTATTCACCCAAAAATGACATTGATTCTCGTGTTTTTAAGGAATACATAAATAATAAAAATAAGGACCTTAAAATAATGTCTAGCTAACAATAAAACAAACCAAAATCCCAAACAAACAAAGAAAAACAACAGAAATGAAACCAAAAAAGGACACGACATTTATTATGCATCAGTGTAAGAAAGATGAGATGCATGAAATTTTTTTGCTGAAAAGCTTCAAATTAAAATCATCAATAATGTATCTTGTATGGCTATACATAATAAAAAAATCAGGTTTTAATATACAAAATGAAGTAAAGTTTATGACATGCAACAAAAAAAGTAAAACAGACAATTAACAGGAAAAATGCAATCATCATCATCATTTCGACTAGAATTATCTATTCACCTTAACTGTTATGCAGGCTTCGAGTAACTTCTATACATGGTTTATTTAAATTATGCATATTAGATTTATTATCGCCGAACGGACGAGATGAAAAATTGGAAGAACAAGAATTTTTTTTTTATTAAGCGTTGATCATGTAAGAAGTGATAACACGCGATTGTGGATCATGATTTAAAAGCAGCATGAAAGAAAAGTAATTAAAGCAGATATAAGAGAGTGTTTATATAAAAATATTTATAACTATTTGTGTGCTTGATATCGGACATAGTTTTGTGATAAATGAAATAAAATTCTGAACAGATGAAGTCTTGCTTCAACATCAACAGAAGTGGACACAAATTTTTAATGAAATTATACTAATTCAACAGATGTGGACGAGAAAAACAAAGGTACAATGTATTTTAGACACCTTTGAAGTTTAATGACATCAAATATTGTGGACGTCTATGAAGCACAAGAATTTTTGTAAAAGTTACTGATTAACAAAATTAAAATGCATATCAACATCATGCGTATTTAATGATGGATACAAAACTAAAACTATCACATTGACATGAATAAATTTTGGATATTTCCCGATTGATTGTCACTGGATCTGGATGAAGTTCTTTAGTGTATGTGGTCATATTCGAAAACTGTGTCGAGATTGTCACTTAATTAAAGAAGAGCAGTCAGTTTCTGAAAGTTTAACGGAATTGAACAAGTCCTTATTAATCGAACCTTTTCCTTTTAAAAAAAAAGTGTTAAAAGTTTCTTGACCAATCAGCCACAGACTTCAGATTTCACTTTACCCCCAAATTACAGCTATATACTAGCTCATAGGATACACCACAGAATTATAAAATACTACTTCCGAATATATGTCTCATCAAAAACTAAAGGAACTAACTCCAAAGTCCAGTAACAAAATAAAATAAGCGAGAATTTTGATAACATTAAATGCAATGGATGCAACAGATAGGTAAAGCTGCTAATGATTAAAATAAAATATTAATTTATGTATGGTGCATCATGTGATATTAGGGTGAGTGGATGGATTTAAGCAACACCTCAAATATTTCTTTCCCATAATAATGATACTTACAAGAACGGTAATAGAGGCGAGAAGAAGTGGAATAATACAGCAATAGATATAGCAATAATGTCACCATCACCATGATTTGTAATAAATTTATCAGAAAATAAATAATTTAAAGTTATTGTACAGTAGGAGTGATGTGAAAAGAATTATCAGATATGTATGTACATAATTAATGGAATAAAGTAGACGATGTGAAAAATAGAAGAATTGATTAGATTTATATCATAATAATTATCATATTGACTCTTACCTTGTTACTACTAAAGATGGTGAAAATTCCCTTGCGTGCCTTAATTCCTTTACCACTTATTGTTCCTTTAATGGTTGGATGATTGGGTAATGGGAAACTGTTTTGTGAATTGTGTGTCGATTCGCTATCCATTTTGGATAAGTCTTCAAATGGCAAATCTCCAGGCGGCTGAAAACCTGATTGATATCGTTCTATCACTTTAAATGAGTCTTCCTTCTCTCTTATTGACTCGGATGCTCTCACAATGCCCTCAAGGCATCGTGCAATAATTGGCGCCACTTGTGACTCTAAATCTGCAGATGACCTAATAAATTCCTTAATTCCTTGCGTCCGTTTCTCATCAAGCTCTTGCAATTTATTACATACTGCAGGTAATGATGTGTGATAGTGTGAATGCTGAAGTTTATTAGATTTTTGTAATTGATTGGCATATTCATTTTTGGCATCATCTGACTGAGCGCATTTAAGTGTCATATTGTGTCTCTGCTTCTCAACCTCTGCTCGACTCAAGTTAAAATCTGCATCTGCCTTCTGATAATTTTCAACAGCCTTTTCTGCCTCACGGTATGCTTTCTCGTAATTTCTCTTTGCTCGGTCTAATGCAGATATCTGGGAAACTAATTGCTGTGTAAGATCATTTCCCTCTTGAATGGCTTTTTTCCTCTCATCGCGTAAAGTTTTTGACAATAAATTTATACCCGAAATGACTTGTGATTGAAGATTTTCTGCGACGACTTCTCTCTGTCCTGCCAAGTCATTCGTTTCTTTCAGTACATTCTTAAATGCTTGATATGATGTAAATCTGGAATTAATTATTACAGCTCATTAGTTTCGACACAACGATATTAAATTGATATCTATCAAGTTATCAAATAGTTATGACTATAATTATTGATAAAATTTCATAATAATATACTTGATAGACATTGATCAGTGATAGAAAGAGCAGTGTGTGCATAAGATTGCAACAATAAGCATCAGAACCTTTTACTTGAAACATTAGAATTTTAATGAAATTATCTCAAATAATTAATGAACAAACAGATCTCAACAGATATGAATATAAATGAGTAGGAAATTAATCCAATAATTTGAAAATAGCCAATATTTGAGTGCAAAAGTAAATATTAGGAATGTAAGCAACTGATTTGTTGACACATGAACAAAACATTCGTTAGGCATTGCAATGTTTCAGTTTCCGTACCAATTTTAAGTTCATGCTGTGATTTTTGTTTCAGATTCAACTTGTTTAGCCAAAATGAAAATTGTAAGGTTCAGAAAGTGAAAATAAAACATCAAAACTCACTCATTGTCTTCGTCTTCTCCTTTCTTTCCTTTTGGTTGGTAATTTTTTGCAAGTCGTCTGGAATTAAAAAACAAAAAAATTAATTAATAAATTTTGTCAAGTGTCTATTCCTTGAAAAAGGATCATCAAAAAAAGAAAGTAGCAAAAAAGAGTTTTGCGACGAGGATGGGATTCGAACCCATGCGGGCAGAGCCCATTGGATTTCTACTATTACTCGATGTATTAGCAGTCCAACCTATTAACCACTCTAGCACCTCGTCATGTTTTTTTTCGGCTGGCAAAAGTACATTTTTGTACTGGAGGCAGATGATTTTGTACTAAATTTCTGCACATGATAAGATTTTGCTCTTTGCAAATTTATTTGTGATAGGGAAATAGTCTTCTTAATATTTATGGTTAATATATTTTTAGCATTTCTGAACACTTATTCTGTTTACTTTTGCAGAAAGTCACGACTTTATGAAATGAAACTTTTATGGAATAAAGACGGCGACAGTTCTGCAGACAATAGAATTTTCTAAGGCTATTTGTTGGCTTCTTACCACATGATATTGCTACATATAGTCGTAAACCTCAGAGAGTGAAGCAAGATGCAATAAATTTAGAACAATCTAGTGTCAATATTTATCGTGTATGTCTATTTAGAGACTTTTTGTGTTGTTGATAACTTCAATGACAAATAACGACCATGAAAACATTGGAATTCGGTCCCTAAACGACACCAAGGCAAAGATATAGACCATATGAAATTTATATGAAATCTAAACTCTAAGCGCCATCTGAATATAGCTCTGGAGAATGCATGGCATAGTTTGGAATATTTACTATGATCTATGGAGACACTAGAAGACACACTGTTCAGATCTATTAAATAATATGACATGCGGAGGTCTAAACCGCTTCTGAAAGTCATTGTGCATGAATGTTTATAAAATCTAGTTATGAAGAAGGTTTGGAAGATATGTCATTTATTAATGATTCATAATTAGAACTTGGCCTAGAAATTAATGTTCACACCTCATTTTGCAGTAGCACTAAACAATTCATCATAACTGATCTATCTATAAGATTCAAATCATTATAAATTATGAAATCAATTCAGGAAGTGAGACTGATGGAAAACAAAAACAAAGCACAGAAAAGTTTACAATAGAAGAAATGTTCAAAGCATCATAAATCATGCCAGCAGTGCATTCGTAAAAACTACCTCTTAAACTCTTTGTGTTTACCGGAAAATTACTTCTTGCTGTATTTGCATTTGTATAGATTTAAAGTTGAAAACAATGACTTTCCTCATTTCTTTTCGTTCCTCAAAATCTTAACATTTTCACAGACTATAAGATTGTTTTCTCATAATATAAATAATTATGTACATTTCAAAAATTATGAATTCATTTCTTGTCCATTTCTTATGCATGAAAGCTAGTTACCAAATCAGATTTAGGTCATCATAAAAAAAGCAAAAGTGTATAATTAATGATAAGAGGTGATAATGCGATGATATGAATTGTAAACACTTTCCCGCTCTCGATTTTTTATGAATTTTGTAATGCTTAACACAAGTATTATTTTTTCTAATACATTTTTTTGAAAATTATTGTGAATCATGACTTAAATTTAAAACAAGCAACTTAATACAAGTGGAACTGAGACAATAAAGTTGGAATTCATTTATTCCGACGAACTCATGTTCTGGGAATCTAGATTCAAATTTAAATACTGTCATCTGGAGCAATTCACAGATTTAATCATGCAACTCAGTTTGAGTGTTTTTTAGAGTCCAAAAATTGGAGGTGCATTGCAGTATTTAACAAACGCTAAATCATGAAATATTGTAGGATTGGAAATCAAGGTGGTAGATTTAAAATCAATTGATGCCACAGAAATTATTAGGGATATGATTGAAATTTCTAAGAAGCGGCTCCTGACCAAGCTATGTCAATTCCGAAATGAAATTCGAATTTGGTGTCCTCGAAACATGCCCTGGCTTCTTACATAATTTTATAAGGCTGTCAGACACTCATTAATAACTCTTCTTGTAATCAGAAATTCCAACAATTTATTATTCTTACTAGTTCATAGATTTTAGGAACTCAATTTCATGTCAAATTTCTGAGCTTTACAGTCTAATGAAAAAAACTATGGCAAGCAAACTTATAAATTATTCACTCAATCAAAAGTACCATGCGAATGCATAAACTCGTTCATTTTGCGAAATTGCAGTCACATTTAAAATTCAAGAGATGCCATAATTTCTATTTTACGTAATTTAATGAATTTTATTACAATCAATAAAAACGCAAAAGTATTTTAAAATCAGAGAAACTCTTAGAAATCGAAATTAAATTTTATTTTTTTCAAGTTTACTCCAACGAACGGTAGTTTATGGAAGTACATAAAATTATTTGTATTATTTAAACTAAATGCTGTCAAATGCATATCAAGGAAAAGAGTTCCAACTCAATTTGTTGAACACCCACTTGAGCATGACTTAAATTGAATAATGTAGATATACATAAGAAAATGAATAAAAGTTCAGATTGAGCGAATTTATAATGATGCAGAGTTTGTTGATACTTTGTAGTTGTTCAGTGATAAAGCTAGCTGATTAATCCAGACCACAATAATGACGCAGATTCAAGAGATAGTCATAATTTTTCTAGTAGTTTAATCATATAAAAATTACAGAAATAATAATGAAATAGAATGCTTTCATAAACATACGATTTTTATGGGCAAAGATAAGGAGTCGTTCGGAAATGACGTCAAATTAAAAATTTAAATTTTTTACATCTTGAAAATCATCAATTAGTGTTCAACTAAAATGACATTAAATTTTCACTGTGGCTTTATTTTGAATACAGATCAAGAACTGAGTAAAGAGGAGCTTTTGTATAAATTGACATATTCTCCCTTTTATACCTAGTATTGAAAATGAAGTGAATGAATGTTATTAAACACTCTAAAAATCTGGATTTTTAAAGAATGGATTGTTGGGCATCATTTGTGAATGATCCCATTTAGAGGAAGCTTGAAGAAAATAGATGAAGGAATTTACATGCTATGAGATAAAAAACTTTACGATTTTGAACTTGAAAAATCAAGCAAGTCTCGCCTTATTGCGCCCACTATGGTTGTCTAATGAGGAACATAACCTCATCACAATTATTTAAATAAATTGGATTAGTATCGACTGCTTAAAACAAGCACACACAAAATATATTGAAATTTCTCATAGTTTGGATATAAAAATTTAATATTTTAAGTACGAATTAAATGGACATGTTTTGTAACTTAATCGTGAGAAAAATAAATAAGTTTCACAAAGGAGAAACTGAGGAAAGATTGATTAAATCTGAACAGCATTAAAATGATAAAAAATTTGTTTCTGGAGCTTAAAAGATTTTCATTTTTCATATCTTTTATGGCATTTATTTACCTTAACTTTGCGGCATATTCGATTTCAATGGCACAGCGATCTTTGACAAAGTTTCCATATTTGTCTAGAAAATCAATTCCTTTTAATGTGTGTGCCCCTATATTGTGAAATTGGTCCTGAGAAAGAGATAAAGAGAAAATCAAAGAATTAAAATAAATTCAGCATGACAATAAAAACATAATTTAAAGTATCAATAAAGGATGTATTAGGCAATTGCTTGCTGTGGATGAAAGTTATTTATTTTTTCAAGTTTATAAAATTTTATGACTGAAAACCGTGGTGCCGCGCGCTATAAAGAATGATAAATATAAAAACATTAAAAAGCCTTGACCGACGTGTAACAGTAAGCAATCGAAATAAACCGCAAAACATAATACAATACAAACATTCGCTGTGTGATGTTTTAATGAACCATACAGGTGAGGAGGGTCATTCATAAGCTATGACTATTAGTTTGACTTTTTAGGCTCTTTACCCCTTATAATAAACTTTTTATTAGAGTATTGAACACATTGAACATCTATGAGCCATTCACATGTGGATGAAAAGAAGGTTTTGTCCACAGTTGGTCTAATTATTTATTAGTATCGACATCACTTAAGAATAAATTGTTTAGAAACTTCAGTAAAATTATCTCGATCGTCTGCAATTACTTCCATTTGCTAAATCTCATGTATCATCCGATGTGCTCATATTTTCTCACTCTGTGTACGCTGTAGACGAAATTATAATCTGAGCATTGTTATGAATATAGAACAAAGTCTTAACGAATTTAAAACAAGCAGATAATATCTGAAATCAACATCTGAATGTGACGGTTAACTCAGATAATTGTCTATCAAACAGCATAACTTACACCTTCTTGTATGCTTTATGACATCATCAACTTTTCTTACCGAGTTAAGTTTAATCTCAACACAGATGGAAAATATTTCTTCATAAAGCCGTTAAATTGACGAAATGAAGTTTATTTTTTTTAAAAAAATGGCAACAAAGCTTGAATGTCTTTAAGAATCTTCTTAAAACATAAGATTCTCAATATTTCTATATTCTTTTCACGTGTCTTTTATTAATAAGGTTCTGTAAAAAAGAGTTTAAGCTATTTATACGTCGTTTTGTTGTGTTGATTTTACTTAAATCAAGGTCATATTGTCTATTAAATTCATTCGATGCGATATCGATTTATTCTTTGAACTGCCATTATCTTAATTTAATTTTCTGTCGTTCTCGTAATTTCCCCACAATTTAAAGTGTAAAGAGTGACAATTAATTAATTTTTGAAGGTATCAGTAGCTCTAAAATGATTTTTTGTTGGGGACTGTTCATCTGTGTCGTCTCACATATATAGAATCCTAGAAGCTGTTTCTACCTTTATGAATTCTAATTATCATAAACGTCACTTGTGAACGGCACCTTAAAGTAACAAAAATAATTCATTTAACACTTCAAAGCCACTGTTTGTTGACTTCATAACGAACTTTGTATTAAGTCTGAGACTTTTTTATTTTGTTGAGAACATTACACATGTATTGTATTGCAACAAGTAAAGTGGTAAAGATGTGATGTTGTGATACGTGTTTTGAGCTTCGGTGACGATTTGCTAAAAATGGTGTATTTCGTAACTTTATTCGAGGCTGGTGGAAATATAAAATAATTTAACAGATCGACAAAGAAATTTATAGTTTTTGGCCATCAATTCTCGCGAACACATACCACGATTGGATTCGCTGTATTACTGTTACTTCATTTTTTCAGTTGTTTAGTGTGAATGTACCTTTTGATGAATTAACTACAGCAATTTAGCTTTTCATTACGCAAAGAAAATTTATTCGACCTTTTCAAGCATTTAATTTTACTTAACTCATCTGTTTGTAGATACATACTTCAATTTGGATCTAAGATTTTCTAACGAGAGTCTTAATTCAGATGAGTTCTTCGGAACTTTAAATTAATTCAAAAAAAAAAAAAGCTTTGAGTCAGATTTGCTTGAATAATTTATAATGTACTCACGACTAATAACTCACTCGGCTTTATCTGTATCTAAATTAGAATGAGTGTAGAAGCAACAACAAGTATTTTAGGTCATTTGAAAATTACAAAGGTTGTAGACGAAAGTCAAACAGTATTCATAAGTGCACTGCTTCTGTTTATGCACCGGTATTGCCACACATATAATAAATGCTGTTGAATAGATGCAAACATTACGCAATTAGTTTATGCTTTACCTACATTTTGTACTGATTATTTGAATATTATCTGTTACTATTTGCTTATTTGATATGGAATCAAATGTTGTGTTCAACAAATTTGTGCCTAGTAATATTTATTTCCCATGATTTTGTTAGCATTATGAAACATGAATTTAGACAGCTTATTTCAACGTTTTTCGTGCTATTCCGCTTATAAAATTCGAACCTCTTAATAAGAAAATTGCACTTGCTTCTTGAGTTTATTCGCCTTTTATAATTTATTTACACATTTAATTTCGGCATTGCTTGTTTACTGCCAAAATTGTGGGAAAATATTGCTACACGAGAGACCTTGTTAGACGAAACTCAATTTTTGGGTTGTGGTATGAAGCTTATTTGAACGGTAGCTTTTAAAATTCACTTCTGAATAGCTTAATCGGCTTATAAAGATAGATCTTCACCAAATAACTGAAAACAATCGCAAAAAGATCTCTAAAAATTAATTTAACTAGGAAACATTTTTGCTAATTATTCATGCAAATTAACCAAGTTTTTGCAAATTTATGTCTTTGTTTTTAAATGGCCTGTAAAGATAGGAGAGTCGATAAGCAAAAATATGACCTTAAAATTTATTTCTGATTGCAGATTTAAGCTCGTAAAGCTATGAAGTCATCACTGTAATGGAAATTTTCAATCATTGAGCAAATAATAATTTACAAGTATTGATATGCATAGTTCCATGAAATGAAAGCTTAATTGATCAAATGATTCTCATATTCAATTTATGTACAAGCTGATTGTATTCAATGCAGTCTCAAGTATTAGTCGGTCATGATTTTTTGCTCAATCTCTGACCGATTCAATCTTTATGTAATTGAAAGTATTTGCACAATTCAATGAAGTCACGTGAAATAATGATCGTGAGAAGGTCGGTGTATCAGAAAGGTTTAGAATTTGTTATTAAATAAATGAAAACTTCATTAGTGAAAGTAAAGAGACACAAATCCATCATGTGGATCTGTGATTTTGACGCTACAATAACATGCCTTAAATAAATTAAGTACATCATTATTACAAATTTCATTGCTTGAAGTAAAGAAAATCAGTTTTAATTTCATTTGCTGCTTGCTCGCTTGCATGAGAGCTTTCGTACAGGTCATACACTATCAGATCTTCATCAATAGATTAGAAATTTTTACTTTTATTTATTTCGAAAGCATTACTTTCATAGTTCGACTAGTGGTCATTAAAATGTAACAAGTAATGTAGTTAGAGATACATAACACTACACCTTAAGCATGTAAATAAATGCTTCCAAATTTTTGAAAAGAAATTTAAATATAAAGAGGCATAAACAGCAGTCAGGCACATAATATGCAGGTAGTGAATGCAATATTTAACAGTTTCGTGCATTGAACAGTTAAAAAAAAGTATTAGAAAATGATGAGTGTTTATGCAGATCATAAAAGAAAGCATCGCTAAATATTCAATTATTCACAACACTGCATTATACTACATAATACTTTATTTCCATGCAACTAATGCAAGGCATTTAAATTCCTAGATATACTTTGCGAGACGGCTATACATAAAAGAAGATTTACAATGAAGAAAAAACAGAAAATTCGCATGCTTCATAGATTGATGATGAGAAACTGGTATTTTTACATAATATTCACAGTAGTTGTTAGCAACAGGTGAAATAAAGTGAAGGTAAATAACAAACTGATTGTATGTATCTCCAATAAAATTCAACAGCTTCGGGTTCATTCACTTATTGTGTCTATAATTTATAACCCAAAACCCAAGCTTTGTAATAAAATCTTATAAATGTGTCTTACAGCTCCAAGCCACTCTCTTTTAAAATTTAAACGTCATTTATGAACAATCCCAAAGGGAACAAAACCGAAAATTTACCTTTTTAAGAAAAGTAAAATAATAAAATACCCAAAAAGTCTTGATTATGAATATAGATTATAACAATACTGGTTTGAAAAATAATAACTATTGTAAAAATTGCTGAAACGTGTTAAGTTGTTACAAAAAGGTGAATTGAATTAATTTTGTGAACAATTAATCTGAAACAAGATGATCCGATCGATACCATAAATATTTCAGTGTCCGATTGTTAATTTCACTGCATTGATTATTACGAAATCGAAATTTTAATTGAGCTAAATTGACATTTATTCAATTGTAAACGGCATAACTTATGATTCGGATATGTAATAAAATATATGGCTAATGTAGAGGAATTCGGAGAAAGTTTGAAGAAATTTCGGATCATTGACATGTTTGAATGTAATTCATGTAATACTCAATGGGAAGTTTTGTAAGGCTTGGTGTGAAAATCATAATTATAAAGTACAGATTACTTAGTGACATTGAGATCAAGGGATCAAAATTAACTGTAAAATGAGACAAAAACTTCCTTCATTACTCAATTCTATTTGCAATTTAATCTCAAAGTCCGACAAAAAAGTTCACTATAAAAACGCATAAAAATCCAATTACACATTCAGACCGTCACTGCATTTAGACCATTCAGCAATTAGAAGGTTAAATAATAACCTTTACGAACGCATACATATCTAATCATTTAAATTATTCGGTTCAATTGTTTTTATTTAAATTCATTGGAGTTTCTTTCTTTTGATGCAAAATAGAAAGAAAAAAAATTGATTTTAATTTAAACCTGTGAGCCAGTGAATTAGAAGGGGTTTATGGTGCAACTGATTCATCATGGGGAATTAAGAAGTATCTAAGATGATAATTGCATCTCTTTTCATGGAAATTTTGTCTTGCACTTCAATTATATTTAGAGTATACCGAGATTGTCTTTTAAAATACATCAAATGAGCCTGCAAAACAGTTAAATACTAATTAAAACTCATAAATCAATGCTGAACTATATTTTTAGTAAATCTCTAAATTCTGTTACTCGAAGTGAGATGTTATGAAATTCCAGATTCGCAAAAATCGAGTGAAGAATGAAATAATTATGATTAGAGCGAATAGAAACTTATGAATGAATTTTTCAAGCATATGCTGATGTAAGTAAAATCGTGTATAAAGTAGTAGCAATTTAGAGAAGAATTTAAAGTGATTAAAAATGAATTCCTATAATAGTTCATACAGAAGAATTCTTCAAGATATTAAGGCATATGGTTTAGAAATATGAATGCTTAAATACTCTCGGCATCATGCTATATTTAAAATGAAAACATCCACAAGATTTTAATATAACTTAGTTTTTTTACACGTTATATAATTTTCTATTTTGTTGTTAGGCATCATCTACAACATCATATGTTTTTATGATGTCTGTGATAAAGATTGTACATCTAAATAATAAGCACTTTTTGTAAACTTTATTATATCTTACAACAGTGTTTTGGTTTGTATTGCATTGCATGTAAGTTGTAAACATACGACGAGTTGTTGACGATAACAATTTCTGAGAAGTTTAGGATTAGATTATGTTCTGTTGTTTATTTTATATAGTTCTTCATCTTATTTCTTATTGCAGTTCCTAACATCTTTTGGAGTGCTCTGATTTATAAAACAAAATTTTTAATTTCATGGACAAATACAAGTAAATGAGTTTGTAAGTTTTGTTAAATGCAGACATTTATTTGAGCTGCAAACAAAGAATTTGTAAAAAATTGTATTCCTTATCATCTTCGATAAAAATTTATAAATGTTTGCAAGTTCAGGGTAATTAAAGTCACAACTTACATCCTGACTATATGTATTTTAATCAAAACTGGCTATTGAATTGGTTGTCAGCCGAAAGTTCCCAAATATGAGAATATTTGGTCTTGTAAGTTGAGAATATCACAAAATATTAAGGACAGATTTCCATCAATTGCTAAATCGGAAAATGTCAAATATGCTCAAGTTCTTAAAAAAGCCTATCAGATAGCCAACCGAATCATTGACGCAAAAAGACAGGAAACTTTACTATTTTTTCATAGTTCCTCTTTTAATTAGCAGTGCTATAAAATCATAAACAAGTTACAGTTATATCATAGCATTTATAATGGCAAGATACTTAATTTAATATTACTTTATAGTCCCTTATTAAGACTGAGCAAACAAAATAGTCAAATTATTTTCGGTATAACTTTTTCATCAGTTCTGAAAATCTCAGCATTTCGTTGCCAGATTTTCATAAAAATAAAAGTGTCAAAATGATAATGAGAATTTTGTTATTTTACATCTTTTTGTTCCACACATCTCAAGGGAAATATTTCAACAGCACATTATGGAGCGTAAGTATGGATTGCCGTTAAAGCCATAAGAATAATCTCATTAAAATCTAATTTTGTTTAGAACTTTGTAAAGTTAGAGCCACATGCTTTTAACATATCTGATATTGAAGTATCGCGTGCTGGTCGTATTGTTAATGGAAATATCGCAAAAGCTGGGCAATTTAAAGAGTTTGTTCTAATGTTTGTAAGACGATCAACAGGAACGGTTCAATGTGGTGGCTGCTTAATTGGTACGAAATGGGTTATGACTGCTAAACATTGTACTAATTCGTAAGTAAAAAAAACTGGTGTTATTTTACACAGTTTTAATAATTTCATTAAATACTATTCAGAGCAATTTCCATTGATTTGCGTTTTGGCGTAATAAATCGAAACTTTTATGACCAGCGAACTTATGCTACTGGCTTGGTATTTAGCAACATTGCTGATATGTCGTTAATCTTGTTACAAGATCAAATTAAAACTACTTATCTTACAAAACCAGCACAATTGCCATCAAATGCTAATAACGTACTTGCTAGTGAAGTAGTAACAGCTTGTGGACTTGGATTGGAAAATCAATTCACTAACTACGTTTCTGTTTATTTACAATGGACAAGACTTAAAGTTATGTCCAATGCTGAGGCAGAAAGGATGTATGGAAGTGATGCAGTCAATCAAAACATCATGTGTACAGTTGGAAGTTCTGATGTTGGGAATTCATTCGCATCTACTTGTTCTGGTAAGCTAGAAGTTCATCTTTAAGAACTCTTAAGTCATTCAAAGTTTTTCATTGTTTTAGGCGACAGTGGATCACCTGTGTTTGCTACAATAAATGGACAGTTCGTTGTGGTAGGAATCGTGTCATTTGGAACTGGAAGTTGTGATAAAGGTAGAACTTGAATTGTTATAATTAAATTTTCAAGCATGTGTCATTTCGATTTGGTTTTATAGGTTATCCAACATGCCATGTGAGAGTCGATTCCCAATTGAGTACTATTTCACGGTATATTCAGTAAATTCATATCTGAAAATTTATTGCCTCACGATCCTCTAAATGAATACAGACAATATTGGATTAAATAAACTATGTTAGCCCATAAAGTCAATAAATAAGTAATTGCATCATTTTAAACAAAGGTGTGCCTCAATTCTTATGATTAACGATTTACAGACTAATGGATACTTAAATAATTTTCTCTTAAAGAATTTCAGTCAGCAACTTTTTACTAATTACAGCTATGCTTGTGAATGTTGGGATATAAAATGAATAATTAACAAAGACATAGGTAATGATGAACGATTAAGCTGTGCAAATATACCCAGCTTATAATTAAGTGACAATGTTCAGCGCTTTCTAATTGAATGACATTAAAACTGATAAGATTAATTTTTACATAATCTTTAATTCAGCTTTTATTTGCATTGACAAATTGATGTGATAACCCACAGACTTGATATTTATTGATTTAATGAATTGCTTGATGCTTTGTTTTTATTGTAGTCCCTGTTTATGAATTTTTTTCGAAATCTTAATTTTAAATAGAATTAAGTTTATGTTGATTTAGGCTTTGAAAATTCTCAAGTAGATTTTTAATGAAATTTTTCCCGATTTTTCCGGAAATCACCTTCATTAAGTTAATAATGAGAATGACATGCTAATACAACCATATTAGTAATTGAATAATTATGATCTCAATAGCTCATGTGGGAAGACACTCAGACTTGTGTCTCATATTATGGATAGTCGCGTTTTGGAGGTATCAAGTTCGAACCCCGTCCATGACGTAATTTTAACCTCGTTATCTAGAACTTAATTAATTTCTAGTTTAATCTGTATGTCATGGTAGATTATAAAGCTGTTATGTGTAGACTTTGTTAGTGTTTTAATTTACTTCACATCGTCAAGATATAACCGATACAGTTCTTTTTTTCATTTTCCATCATTCCTTATTTTATTTACAGAATATTTTCATATTTCTTTAATTGTTGAAAATTTGCAGTTTTATTGTGCGTGCAATTTCATGTTATTTACCATAATAGATGACAATTTCAAACTTTCTCATGATAATTTAACCAATCATTTGTGATTCATTAGTCATATGTAACCAATTTAGTGATGACTACTTCAAGTCGTTGGAATCGAAGTTAGTTGAAGTGCTATAACTAAATCTCATTAAGAAAATGCGCAAAAAACCGGTAGAGTATATTAGTTTTGTCGTCTTTGTATATTTTGTATGACTCATACATTTGGAAATACATCCGTTGTGGAAGCAAATCTTACATTAGTCAGGCTTATTCACATATCCATGTATTGACATTGATATTATATTTAATATTTATAGAGTTAAAATTAAATCAAGATTGCAATATGGCAATATGTGTGCATGTGTGTTTTGTGATAAACATTTACTCCATCCAAACTTTTTGTGTGCATTGAAATGGAATATTTTTGAAATCACTGAATGCTTTCTTTTCTTTCGTTTACGAATAACTCACGACCGATTTCTGCATTGTTTGTTTAATTTTCAGATTTTTGAGATAACAAATACGAATGTTTAAGATATGAAAAAAAAAAAAAATAATACAGGCACAATATGCGATGAACGCATGCAGAAAATGTTATGCTGAATGTTGTTTATGTTTACTTTCAAAGTCAGCCTTTTATAAATTGCTGTCCAATGGGAGCATTTAAACATGACGTCTGTCAGACATTTGGATAGATCTTCAATATCATGACAGCCTCATGCTAGACGTCATTAGTAAATAACGCCAAAATATGCATTATTGGAATTTTTCATCTAATAATAAACGAATACAGGAAAAATTCAATATCTATGAGAACCTCAGGATATTTTTATAGCACAACAGATAATTTGATATTGGCAACAGAACATTGAAAGTGATGATAAAATGCCAAAAGCTTAAACAAATTATCGGTTAGCATTATTTCATGCACATCTACATACTTGCAGCTGAAATGATGAAATTTTGAATCAAATAAAAACGTGTCGAAATGAGCAATGTATCTGATATTGAAGAGTTAGTATGCACAGCAGTTTGATTCAATAATTCAACAAATTCAACCAAATATTTATCTTTGTGGCATATTCAGCTGTAGCTTATGGATACATGTTTATGATCGTATTGTTAAATATTTTGTAATTGAGCTAGAACAGAGAATAGACGAGTAGGAAAAAACATAAAATATGCATTTACAATCTATGGCGTAAAAAAAGTTTAATGTACACATTCAAAAAGAAAATGCCGAATTTCTCAGAACAGATAATTGCTGCTGCTACTGTTCTTTTCCATTTTTAGATATTTTCAATAAATTTTCTATATCAAAGACTTAATTGACGAATTAACGAACCGACTCTTTGATATCGCATGTGTTAAAACCAGAAAGTCTATATTCAATGAAGCCCACTATTCATTATGGAAACTTGAAATCATTATCCAACATGACACGAAAACAAATGATTATTGACTTTTTCACACCAACTTTTCAGCTTAGAAAACAGTTTTCGTGTCTGTTTTTTCTCACTCAACATGGATAGTTAATTTATAATAATTTTGGTGTTTCCCTCTTGTGTTTTAAAGCTGTTTAAGTCCATCAAATTTACCAAAGAGACACAAGATGTCAATAATCAATCAACAAAGAATTATTATTTTGACACTTGGTTATTTTCTCGTCGACAAAATTACTCGATTGAAGCTGTAAATAAATTCCATTGAAAGTTATCAAATTTAACAAATTAAAGAACTTGGAGGGGAACTGATTTTGTACCGAAAAGTGTATCACACGACTAAATAATTGGATTAATTTTTGCAACGCGTGCGCTTCGTAATAACTCAATTAAAATGATTTTTTCCGGTTGCTGATGCATTGCAGCACAAATTTCGAAATTTTCTTAGATAAATCTTTTGACATTGACATATCAATCTTTTGAAGTGGAAGATGATTTTTCTTTTTTTTTGATTTAAAGGAACTGACGAATAACAGCAATTTTATCTCAAATCGTATCCCTTTTCTATATTACAATCCCCCTTTTATCACTGATTTATCTCGAACGTATTGGTCATTCCACAATAACCGAAAAATACTTTTGAAGTGCCATTCCTGTGGATTTTCATAAAATGACCCCTATCTATATCACTCCATGATGAGGTTAATTACAAACACATTCATGTGTCAATCTCTCATCGTACGCTACATTTTCATCCATATCCAGTTTATACCCCTTTTAAGTGTACTTTCATTTTTGCAACTGCAAATACTGGCTCGTTTCAAGGTGATTAATTAAGCTTGATTTAAAGCAATGATGGTCAGCACGAAAGAAAAATTAGAATTAAAATCAATTAAATTGCATGAAACTAATTATCATATTGAATGAATGGGAAATTAAATAATCAAAAGCATAAAGTTAGGAAGATTAATGATGATTTTTACCATGTGACTCTTCAAGTACAGATAATCTTGACCTTGATGTCTCTCGTCCAACTCCTCTCGCTTCTCTTTTATAAAGTCTCTTAATTATTTAAATGATTGTGTCTGACAATTTTCTCTCAGTGTATAACCTTAAAGTATATGCTTTTTTGCGTTTCTTATTCATTAACGAAAAATAAAATTTAGTACATGCAAAATGAAGTCAGTGACGTTCTGTGACACAGTTTATTTTTTGTTATATTATTTTGCAATTCCGAAATGACTATAGCATGATTATGAAACACAGAAAAAAATTTAAGTGAGAAATATTATTCACATAAATGACTATTAATTTACATAATGGATCATTGTGATGAGTATAAATGAATGTGGGGTGGGCATCTAGTAGCCGTCTATAGAATTCTGTCCATCTAAGGTTACTCATAATGAAAAGAGAAGATGTATTCAAATGACTTCATGAAATTCCAATCGATTGATTCATCACGCATTAAGTATTATCGTGATTTTAGAGACTTTTTCAATCATATGACATTGAGTCATGAAGTTGAGTGTACAATTTTGAGGACATCAAATTAAATTTTAAAACTTTTACAGAACTGTTTCCTAGGTTTGTAGCTATGCGACCAGGAACAGAATAAAGCAAATAACTTAACAAGGGATGAACAGATGCTAAAAAGCAGTATAGCAGCTACAAAAGCTATAATAGACAAAATGCTATTATTGCTGATTTCAGGACAATATTTTAGTCATCCTACGTCCAGTTCTGTACGTTCATATGAAGCAATTGTGGTTAACTCATTTATATTTATGAAATTATCCTAGATTCAAGTGGTTAATTGAATAATACATTCCATTTATGGATATTGAGGACTTTTTTGACAGCACTGCTGACCATATGAAATGTAATTTACACCATTAAATATTTATATTTCAAGTATGAGTGTTGGTATCCAAGTACAAATAAATTGCTTCATAATATTTTGATCCAATGTTTCTAGTGTGCAGCATTCTGGCTCTTTTTTGTCATAGCAATAAAGCAACTGTAGACTTTAGAAATCAATACAGAAATTACATCACCATTCTCATTACATTTAAACTCTTTATTTGTGTGATTTAATGTTCTATAAAGAGTATTTTGACCTTTTAGTCTACACATGTATGCTTTACTAGTAGAAAAATAGATGAGGAAAATAAACTTTCTGCTACTACAACATCACATGCCATACCATGTCTCGTCGTTCCTATTGAATGGCTGTAAAACGTAAAAGTGAAATGTCATGTATGACACATATGGTAACAATAAATGATGAGCATAACCGTGCGGAGTTGTGTAAACTTACTTCAATCATCTATAAATTTTTGTCTTGATTCCATCCTGTTCTCATGATTGATTAGATTCTAAATACTTGAATTTCAACATTTTTATCAAAATATTATTCACCAAAATGTGTAATATATTGGGTTGTGTCACTGCTGAGTTAGTAATAAAAATATTGCAGTAATGGCTTCTCGGAATTTAATCCAGACGAATTTTTTACTCGCATTAAAAATTCAGAACATAAAGGTTAAGTACATGCTATGTTTCTATATTGTTATATTATTAGGGTAGTCCAAGGTATGCATGTTTTCTCCCTTTCTAATATAAAATTCTCTACTGATCCATTATTTAAAT